TGTACAGTAGGGCTGTGTATTGGCAAGAATCTGTTGATATGCTACGTATCGCGATACAGAGGTTATGATTCAATATATTGCAATATAATGTAACAGTAAGCAAGGCGATAGATTCTATTTAACATCCAACATTATAGCCTTCAGTTTACAACAGCAACGTCAGCATCGACTGACGTCTCAAATGCTTGCATCTCTTATACAACAGCCGTTGACATTCAGCACTGACAAACTTTTTTACATTTTTGAATCTCGAATAAAAGTGACCAACACAATACAATCCAAACTGCCAACTCAATTGCCTACATGGCTTCAACTTCAAATAAATGTTCACATGCTTCCAGCAAATACAGTATAACTGATTTCTCCTAGTTTCATCTCCAACACTATAAACGACACAGATTTGAACTTAAACTGTAAATCCTACACATCTTACATGCAAACTATTTAGATTTTAAGACCTCTCAGTATTAAGACCTGCAGTTTTCTGCATAAGCATGGACATTTTTCTTCAGAAAACATCGCCTCTTCTAGTTGTAGCTGTCTTGTCTGCAAAGTCCTCAAGTGTGTTGTGTTTGTAAATCAACAATTTGTTTGAATCCCACATAAGAATGCATGGACTTGTTGCTGTTATCCTTGGTTTCAGTGCTGAGTTTTAGTGTCACGGTTATGTGTCACTAAATGGTATTTCAGAGGCTGACAGAACAAAAGCTTGGGGCTAACCCTAAATACTTGTATGTTTTGGCATAAAAATGTCACTACTTAAAGCCTTTGAACATCAGCACAAATTATTGTCACTTGTCAGCTTTAATCCAAAAATACTGACACTGGTAATGGTTTTCAAAACCTATATGGATCTCAGTGTAGTTTCCTGGAATGCTCCTCTTAAATGGATGTAGGTTTCCTGGGACATATCTGTTTCACCACTTTGTCAAGTTTTGCAGTGTGGCGGCAGAGATGGCTTCAATTTTCATTCTCATTGACCTTTGATCCAGTTTCTGGTCTCTGTGCTGTCATTCCTCTAACCATTTTAGGCTGGTTTATGGTCAATGTGTAAGCATTTACAGAAGCAGACCTAAATCAGTTCCCACAGTGTTTCAAAACAAAGAAGATGGTCCGCTTACAGAAGGTTTGTCTCAGTCTACTAAGATCTATTGGATTATAGTATGGAGTTTGAAAACTCTTCTTCACAGCCAAACTGATGTAACCAAAGTCGATGTAAACTTACACCATTTAAGTTTTTAATTGCATAATCAATATCAGAGCTGACTCCTAGAGTATACACTCAGCTGGTTCTCCTCAGTTTGTTTGAAGTGCGGCTTCCCGTTTAACTCTATGTAGCAAAAGTAATCCCTCTTAATGCAGCACTACACATGCTCACATTCCTCATACCTGCTGCAGCATACTTACTAATTACCACTCAATATGTGAGCACAGGACTGAACACCAAATAAATACCATTTCTTTCCCTCTGTGCATTTTTTGCTTCTGTACATGTATTACTGTCTGAAGAAATCCTACAATCCAACATAAAGATTAGAGAACAAGAGCAGCATTGCATCATTGCAGCGACCTGTAAGGTCTTGCCCATCCTTGGCAGTAAAGACTCATCACTGCTAATAACAGGGTAGAAACCGTTGGGTGGTTTTGTAGAACTGATGTCATCCCTGTAGCAGATGAGTCAAAGAAACAAACATTACATACAAGTCAGACAGCCAGATGGTAGGTGGTAGGTGCAGAGGTGATGATCACAGCTTGGATAGTAGTTGGCGTTTCATTAACTAATTTCATCAGTGATCATATTTTATGCCATTAAAGGTGCTTCCCTGAGCATTTTGGCATTATTAGAAATATTGCTTGTGTATAGATGTCGGATGTTCAAAGATGGGCTGGAATTGACTGCTTTCCTTTTGAAAAAAAAAAAACAGAACGGAAGTTGCTTGAAGGCAGATAATAAAAAAAGACATATTAGATTACGTATGTGGCAAATGATAACCGGAAAGTATGTACGTCTCCAACAAACTCAAGTAACAAAGAATTTTGTAAGTGCGTGAATTACAGAGTTCTCAAACTACTTTGTTAAACCTTCATATCCATTTCACACGTCGGGTTCCCACACAGCTCTGTCCTCACCTTGGCACTCTGTAGAGACGCATGAATGTCCAGTGATCAAGAGAGCAGTTTAAGTTTAGGGGTTTTATTTTCCGTCCAAATGGTTGGAAGATGATTAATGGAATAGCGATGAAGACAAAATGTATTAGAAACGTTTATTGGGGATATTCCTGCTGGACTAGTGTTAAAGACATCCTTGGTTTGATTCTGGTTTCGGATTTTTATTGCATTTCTTTCAAACTATGTAATAAAGAGTGTATTTTCCAGTGTAGCTTTTCCGCTCACAACTAGAAAAGGTTGAATTTTTGGAAGAAAATGTAAGTGTGCTTACCCATGCTGAAAAATTAAGGTGCAAACACTGTTAACGGTTTAACATGTTTTCCTGCGATGTGTCCGTTAAAATATAGAGAAAACATTGCACATTTTCAGACGGTCTCTCCTTGAAGACATTCATAGTGTTGCACTTGTTTGTTCACATGAAAAGTACCCGCAATAGTTTTGTAAAGAGTAAAAAGAGCTTGGACACCACTACCCCTAATCTGGCATTGGAAAGTTGTAAGGAGAGGGGGTTTTCAAAGTAATTCGGCAGTCCAACTAACAGTTCTGACTGAGTTTACTGGCTCCTTAAGCTTTGAAAAAAGTTGCAGTGTTAAAGCCGAAACCAGTTGAAGTGCAGTTGCTGAAAGCATTTGAGATTTTAGTTTCAAGGTTAAAGATCTAGTGTGTAACATTTAGGAGGATCTATTCTCAGAAATGGAATATAATATTCATAAGGTATGTTTTCTTTAGTGTATAATCACCTGAACACAGGAAACATTGTTTTTGTAACCTTAGAATGAACTGTTTTTATCTACAGAAGGACCTCTTTGATGGAGGTGGCCATGCTGAACCGCCATGTTTCTACAGTAGCCCTGGACAGACAAACCAAGCATACCTCTACATTGGGCCTTTAGCATTTCACAGCCACTGTAGTTTCCCCTACAGGCTGTTTTTTAAGCTCTATAAGAAGTAAGAAAATAGCAACCAAAACAGTTGAACCATCAGTTCGAGATACACAGAGTATGTGCACTGTAAAAAGTCCGCTAGTACTGTCAGCAGTGACATGGTAATGGAAATAAAATGCAAAAATGTACATGGTGATAAATTTGGAAACATGTCAAGTGTGTGAAATTTCAGTTTGGAATATAAACCCTGTAGGCAGCTGACTTGTCAGTTTGTATGTAAGCACTGAAAGTAGTTGAATTGAGTTAAATAGTGAGAGCTGGAAGCAGTTATACTGTCAGCTGAAGTGTAAGACATGAAAGCAACTGAAATGTTTGGAAGAGGTGAAAGTTGAAATGAGAGTTGAACTGTAAACGACAAATGATTGAAATTCAAATGAAACAGTAACAGCTGTCTTTGTTTGATGCTAGCCTCTTTAGCTCACTTATTTCCATTTAGACTACTCCAATTTGCATTCCCCACCAGATACGGCCAAATGATCTTTAATAGATTGATCTTATTAATGCTCTATAAATTAACCAGCTGTCAGTCTGCCAACAGTTTGAGGAATTCCAGTTCTTGCCCTGAATGCTAGTGCTGCAAATGACAGAGTTAAAGTGTTGCGTGCAGGTAGCGCTCTTCCCATCCACTCACCCTCTGCGTCAATTGGCAGATTTGTGATGTATGCGTGTATGTGTGTGTGTGTTCTGCGCAGCTCACATGCTGAGCCAGATGAGCTCATCTCGGAGAATGATCCAAACATGCCACCTCTGAAGTTTACACACCCCAGACAGTCAGTCAGGCTGCTTCTTTACACACCTGTGTAGCCCCTTATGGTGAGGCTGGAAGGTTTTATGTGATTTGACAAATGTTATGATGTGATAAACCTGGTCTGCGTTGGTGTTTTTTGAAACAGAACCTGGCTTAGATTTACAAGGCGTTTAGGACAAGTGCGCTGAGATCTGTGTATTGTGAAAGTCACAGCAAGTCAACGGCATTCTCAGGCTCCTTCTAATTGCTATTCTTGCCATTCTGCAGCCACTGAACTGAGAAACTGACGTTTGCGACCGCTTCTGTCCACTAGACCTGCTTTATGTTGGAGCCTAGGTGTTTGGCTCTGACAGCTTTTGCCCTGTATGCTGCAGAGAGATAAGATACCCCTCGTCTGTTTCCCAACAGCATCTGAAAAGCGGCATTGGGCTCCACGCCAGACTCCCTGCATTGCCCTCTCAGTACAATGATAAGCATGTCATCGTCACGTTGATGCATAGGTGAGGTGTGTGTGCAATTGCTTTTGTCTGGTTCTTGGCATTCACTTAGAGCCTAATCATACTAGGAAATGGGTTTATACGCACCGTGGCTCACAGGGAATATCGCTTTATGTGTGCTTTGGGATGCACAAACACTTCTGATGAGTGTGTTAAAAGGAGAATTGTGGGGCCGTCAATAAATCAGCCTATTTTTCTTCCCCTTGCGCCTCTTTTCAGCTGCTCTAGGAAGAACCAACGTGTTAAGCATAATGACACCATTACTCACAAGTGAACATAGCAGAACTCAAATTCTCTGTCTGTCTCATTACTGTTTGCACGCTCTCTCTGTCTTTCCCTTCCTGACTTTGTTTCACAATTGCTCTCTTTCGTACCCTCTTTGTCCCTCCCTCCTCCCCCCCCCCCCCTCTCTCTCTCTCTCTCTCTCTCTCTCTGCATGCTGTTCCTTTTATTTTGTCCCCACTGAGAGATGACTGGAATTTCTCATCTGGCTGAGAGGGTCATTTTAACTTTCTCCTCTTCGCCTTGCTGACTTTGTTTCCACTCCCATCCACCCTGCCTGTGCTCTCTCTCTCTCTCTCTCTCTCTCTCTCCCCTCCTTTTCTGACGCTATGCACCGGTTTCTTTGGCATCCCGCTCGTGTGTGCGAGCCAAGGGAAGGCAGCACTCTCCTGGGACACTCCTAACTATCTCTGTCTCTCTCACACACTCTTTTTTCTCTCCTCTCTGTGCCTATCAGGCTCATTCTGTACTGTAGCATGCAATCTGTAGGAGGGATGGGGCCTAATTTGCTTGCCTTGGCTAATGAGCTTAGCCCGTGCTGAGCAGCTTTTAGCCCTGCAGGTTGTTGTAGTGGGCACTGGTTAGCCCGTAGCGGTTAGCGAGGGGAACCAGAGCAGAGGAGTGGATCTCAGAAGGGGCAGAGCTGCAGCCACAGCTTCACCACTCCTCTGTTTGCCTACCAGGACCACCTATCCTTGTACCGGCACTGCGGCTGGGACGTCTCTCTCTCCTCTCTCCCCCCACCCTCCCTCCTCTGCCTCTCTCTAACGCTACCTGACTCCCCTCTCTGTCTGTCCCAGAGCACTGACAAACTGCTTTTTGTAGCTGCATCACCTCTCAGGCAGCTGCCCCCTCTTTCCATCTCTTTCACCTCTTTTTCCGTCTAACCCTCTGCCCTGACTTTATTGCCAAAATGTACCGGAACCCGTGGATCTCGAATTACCTGACTCACGTCAAGTTTTGCAGCCAAGGTAAGAGCAGCGACTCGGGGCTCTGCAGCTCGGGGCAGAGCTGAGATTTGCAGCTCAGGCTGAGAGTTTGGGGACAGGTTACTCTGGTTGTGGAGCTGGGAATCTGAGCTCGTAGAAGTTGGCAGGCAACAAACTGCAGGCTCCTTTCCTCTCGGCTTACTGTCCTGCTTTCTAGCCAGCTGTCCTTTGCACTGCAGCTGTAGCCTCCAAGGACACTACGTAGCAGAGATAAGGGACTCTTGACAGTGCAGGGGGCTGTTTTAGGGAAGAAGCTATTTCTAGGCTCCACAGCTACTTGGACTCAGATTTGGGAAAGTGTAGTTGCTGTGTGGATGTATTCTTAGGCTTTACAGTTGCCACACTGCTGTGTATGTGTGCACTGGTGCTCGATAACAAACCAAATGTATTTAATTATCAACCTAAATTTACTCTAATCACAATTATAAGATAGATGAATTCCAAATAAGTTAACCTCCAATAAGATGTTTAACTTTAACAAGTCAGCCCAAAATCCAAGGACTTAGTCACGCGTTTAAAATTAATAAATAAATAAAATTAATAAATTGATTTCAGTGAAATTGACACAATCAGTGAATTTCACTTGGAGGCCAAAGTAAATATGTGCATCCTTACAATGCCATCCTTTGAGTGATCAGCAAGCTGGAGAGTCCAAAATGAAGACAGTTATTTTAGCTTATTAGCTGCGTGGCAACACCCACCTTTATTTAACCTCCTCTGACCGAGTAGAAACTGGTTTTAGACGGGAATTAGAGAAGAATTTAAAGGAAGAATGTCTCCTGTTGGACAGTTAGCAAGCTAACTAGTTTGCAGAGTCCCCCCTTGTCTTTAACTCTGCCAGCATGTGTTTCCAGCTGCATTATTGTGCTGTCCAGTGCTGAAGTTTTTCACTCATGCACGTGAAAGACATTTTTGTCTTTGCCTTGTGGTCACTTGTTTTTTTAGGCTTATTGCTATTTTGTTTAACATTCTTTAGCCAAATCCAGTTAAAAACAACATTTATATCGAATGTGCTTTCTGCTTTTATTGGTAAAAACTGAAGTCATGAAAATCAACTGTTGTCTTAGCACCCCACATAGTGATCAAGCTCCAGCAGAGAGTATAAATCCTGGTGGAGTAATGAGTCAGTACAGAGATATTCGAAAGGAGCTTGGAATGCTATTGTAACTGATTAGTGCTAGCATATTTCTGTATCTCTAGTTTTCTGTTCGCCAACTGCTGCAGCACTGTGAACAGTCACAACGTACAAACACAGATCCCACCCTTCTGGTTGCATACATTCAATAAGCTTTTTTTAAGCTCAGACTTTATGTATGTGGTAGTGTGTTTATACTATGACTGTTTTCGCCTTGCTTACAGTTTTGCAATATATTGAATTATAACCCCTGTATTGTGATATGTATTGTATCGCCAGATTCTTGCCAATACATAGCCCTATTTAATACCGAGTAGTTACACTGTAATTAATCAGAACACTTGTGAGTCAGCATACTTATGTTTACATGGTATCATTGCTTAGTTAAATTCATAAATCATCCAGCCCTGTTGTGCACAGCCTTTGTGTGTGATAGATGATTATGCACTGCTGACTGGCCACAGGTCTATGTCTGCTTCTCAGAGTGCTTCTCATTCCGACCCTTTTCTGGAATATTTTCTGAGTGAGAACTGAATGTTGAGATCTGGCTTCTCCATGCTAAACTGTCTGGGAATCCACAACAGGTGGCCCCAGGTTCAGGCTTTTGTATGAGCAGCAGGACTGTTTTTTTGGGGGGGAAGGGTGTGCATTTAAGTTTGTTTGAGGGTTTAAATGTGTCAGTGTAACTGCCCTTTGCTCACTGTTTCCTTGAGATTGAGCTGCTTGTATACTCATTGTTAAAGACATAATTGGCTTATTGTCACATAAGTCTACTGTTTGTAGCTACGGCCTCACCTAATTTCTGATTCTCCATCTGTTTTTTTTAATGCTTTTCCTCTTAAGCCTCTCTCAGTCAGGCTTTAGTTACAACTTGAATCTCCCAGCAGGCAGGGTGAAGGCGGAGTAGGTGGGCAACTGTCGGGGGGATGTTAATACTTAAACATGCACACACACGCGCACATGTAGTGTGATGTAATGCAGACGGTTAAAGAGTGACACGTTTCCTTTTGGGCTCGCTGTAATCCCAGGAATTGAAGTTAATCCTGTATCTCAATTTGGACATATGCTCAGCCCCCTATGCCTCTGTGGTTACCACATTGGGTGTTTTTGTGTGTTAAGACGTGGAGTAAGGATTGCGGTTTGATTGACATCCACTCCACTCTTTTTCTGAATGGTTCCCCATTTATTTGTCATGTGTTATAACTTTGAGCTGAGACCTGAACCTGATGTTAAAGTTGGATTTGTCAGAGCAGAGCATTCCCATTGACAACTTATTTTCTTTGTTATACAGTCTGTGTGCTTCACATCTTTGATACCTTCACATAAAATGCTTTTCCCCACTTCAGAGCCTGAATGACACTCCACTGAATCATGAAATCATTTTATCCCCATGTTTTATCAGTGTCAAGCCGCTTTTACAGCCTCATCAACACACACGGAGCGCGTTGCTGAGGAATTCCTGGCGCATTCCCTCCCGGCTACAGCAGCCATAGTGTTTCGGTAGATTACAGACAGCATCAAAGGATCAGCCACATCTGTGATCATTGTGGAGGTTTTTATGCCTGTGTCTGGAATGACGAATGTATAGAGGCACTTGGGCTTTCCGAGGGGGTCGCCCCTGATGGCCTACATGCCACTATGTATAAGCTGTATGAGGTGTAAAAGGAATACAGGTCTGGGTTGTGGAGAACTCTATATGTTAAAGCTGACAATAGCCTCAGACAGACCACCCCCCCCCTCCCCTCCAGGGACAGATGCTTTTGTTATTTTCACACTAGCAGCTAATTAACCTTTACTGTTGCATCTGGTTTTGTTTCACACTCTTGCTTGAAGGGAAATTCTGGTATTTGTCAACTTGGGATTTATTCTTAAATTTTTGACCTTTATGACTGTTGGTGATTATAACATTTTGCTTGCCACCTACATTGCAGAGATCTGGGAAACACAGACTCTGGTAACAACATGTTGATTGGGGCAAAGAGTGTGAGCTTCCTACAGATTTCCAAAGAAAGTAATCCCATGGAAAAACGTTGTAGTGGTTTGCTGCTGTAGCGAATTGCATAGAGGTTGTAGTGCTATTAGCTACAACTGGACTCTTCATTTATCATATAGTGGCGTTCAATAAAAACTGCACCTTGTGTATTTATTTTTTTTTCTTGGAAAACAATTTATCATTACATTTGCTACTACTTCACTAGAATGCACACATGCTAAATCAATGGATAACATAAAAAAAACCTACTGCAGGTGTAGTAGGGATGTGCATCTCCATCACTGAGGCTGATGCGATACGCATCTTGATGCCAAAGGTTTGATACATTAAAGTTCCAGTGTGTAGGATTTAGTGGCATCTAGCAGTCAAGTTTCAAGTTAGATTGCAACTCACTGAATACCACTCGCATCTGTATTTGAGGACCTGGGAATAAGAACAGGCTGTGAAATGTGAAGGAGAAACTATGGAGGAAATTATATATAAATAAATCAGAATTTACTGATGCGAAGATGTTAGAAATGATGCATCCAGATTTCATCCCAAATTGTATCCGGTTCTCACTTTCTTAAACCGGTGCAGTCAGTTACCATCCCTAATGTGTAGGTGTTAGTGGGAAAATCCGCTACATTTCACAGAGGTTCAACTCATCCGCTGTGAACACATGGCTAGCTTTTAGATCGCTGCGTAATAATATGTTACTGTTTCAAGCAGGATTGGACTGTGGGCGCAGGATTTATCTAACCATTGTTTTATACTTTGAAATATCTGCTACAAAGCTGTCGACCTAAACTTTGGATCATCGTCAAAAGAAAACACAATCGACTCAGATAACCAGGATTATCATTCAAGGCTCGCAAGGAATGAGCCGTGTTTTCACCAGCCGTATTCCACCCAGCTGAAACAATACACGACTATCCCCAAACACACTCAGGCACGCCGCCCTCTCCAAATAAGCCTTCTTTCTTCTCAAATTATGTTTTGCTTAAGTAGGAGGGATTTAAAGCATCAACCCAAACATCCTTAATAAGGACTAACAGATCTGGAATGGGTGGTTAGGGGGTGGGCGGCCTCGGGGGAGAGGTTAGGGGTTTGGGTGGAGCAGTGGGGGAGTTGAGGGGGCGTCACGCGGCCCTGAGGTGAACTCTGAGAGGATGGAAGTGGGACCACATGTTTGTCCCGAAATTGCACGGCTCTGGCCACTCTGAGGTCCGAGGGCAGCCAAAACCGCACGTTTGAGGTTTGGAGTCAATAACTGAAGCAGACAGACATTCCTTAAAGGGATGCTCCGCGCAACTCGCATTCCTCACAAGCCTGTTTATGATGCTTAATACCCACTAATGCCCCTTTTCTCGGTAATGAGGCTGTATTTCTCTGTAGGCAGGTGTTTATGTCACGTTTTGCCCTCGTTTACTGACTCTGACCATTTTCCTAATAGACACCAGACTTTATTAGGTTGGATCGTTAATTCTTGTCTAAATTGAGCTTAATCACATGCTGTAGCTTCATAATAGTGTGTTCGCAAGGTTTCAGGAATTGGACAGTCTGGTTGTCTGTCTGGTCATGCTGTCCCCTATCTGTATTCATGGAGGGTATGAAAGTGCTGCCCAGCGACAATGATGTGCTCAGCTCCTCCTGGCAACGTCCCAGCTGCACGGCAACCTTGACGTGTGATCAGACTTTACAGTGTCTGTCTCAGTGACACACACGTTGTCACTCCTCTATCAAACCCTTTAAGCTATGACCTCATGCACAGCACATAGACTGATACTTAGGATGGAGACAGTCACCGTCTCTGGATGGAAGTGCTGTAATGATTTGTGTGGCGGGGGTTTGGGGGTCGGATGGGTGCAACCCTTTTTACTGCACAGATCACTTATTATTTGATGTGATTCAGTCAGGCAGGCAGATTATTGTTTTCCACATCGTTTGTTTCCTCTGTGGAAGTCCACTTAATTAATGTGGTTCCGTGCCAAGGACCTGCTTGCAGACTGGCTGGTTCACCTTAAGATACCTCGCTGCTATGTGTGTCTGTTCATTAAAAGCTAAAATGAATGAGCACTGTGACATGACTGAACGTTACACTCTTTTCTTCTGTCCACAGGACTTGGGAGTGAGACCCCCATTAAACTAAGCAATCCCAGATTGCTACAGAAGAGAGCTTTGAGGTAAGATATGCTAAAAAAAACTTCCTGTGTTGTCCACTTTGATCAGGTTTAAATTTCTGCTGTGTTAGGTTACTTTAAGACCTTGTGAATAAAAACATAGGGTCGTAAAAAGATCATTTAAATATGAAAGATGCCATGTGGGGAATTTGGATCTCAATAAATCATCACCAAGTATCTGGTCTCTCCTAGTGGTGGTACTGAAAAATAGTGTGTGGTAAACAGCAATGCCCAGCTTGTCTTATTTTTCTGCAAACATAAATGTATGCAGATCTGAATGATTTTACAACCATTACAGTCACACGAATATTCTAGGGTCTTTAATTTTGAGATGTTAATATAAATACCGTAAACAAATGAGAACATCACCAGGCAAGGTTTCACGACCACCTTCTCTGCATTGAGAGTTTTGAGTCACGGTAGGAGGCCCCAGGCTGCTACAAACAAACCTCAAGTCAAGGCAGATATTATGGAATCACTATATGGCGATTTCCAAACTGCGGAAGCTGCAATGTTTTGATAAAGGTAAAGTGTGACAAACCAGCATTGTAATGAAGTACTGTAGTGCTGCAGAGACCGCCTACAAATTTTGTTTTACGTGTGTTTATGTAAAAATACGTCTGGTCGGTACACCAACGAATGATGACGAATCATGATTTGAATAGTTCTTTCAGTGGAAATGGACATTTTGATGCAAACAGGATCATTACTACTACTACTACTACTTACTACTAATCCTGAATTATATCATATTATTTTTTGTATTAGAATTTTTTATGTTTAAGTTTGCTTTTGTAATACATTTGGTATTAATGGCCGGTATGTGCCCTGTGATTTGCCTTTAAATGTTAATAGTTTTTCTAAAAATGACCCTTATTTTGAGAAATCACATACCCATTTAAAGAAATGAAAGATATCGTATTGGTAAAATTGTATCCAAAAGTATTGGTATCGTATCAGATCGCTAGTCAACTAAAAAAAATATATTTTTATAAAAGTTACCTTCTGCAGCTTTAAACGTGATGTAAAACAAGTAGCAAAGGTCAGAAAATGGACTCCGTCATGTCAGTTACACACCAAAATCTAATTCCATCCATTGAACACATCCTTAGTGTTGTACTTTGATTGTGGAAACCAACCAATAGCAGTGATAAAGCTTGGGTGCTTTACAGGGCCAGTGTCCAAGCTCAGTGAGAGTGAGAAACTAAAAGATAAGCTCACTTTGCTGTTTGGCAGTGTCAGACCTGCCTGCTGCAGCATTAGTAGGATTGGTCAGCATCATGTTGTTGGCTGGGTGTCAAATACACAACCACGTCCGCACATTAGCCTCCATATAGAAAGTTTCCTTTACGGCAGTGAGGATGCCGGGCATGGTGACAGCAAGTTGGTGCCAAACTGTGTGGGCGTGTCTTTGACTTGAAAACATTCTGCATGTAGGGATTAGACATTGGAAGATCATGAAGGCAGATGCTGTTATGATAGAAAAGGATCTACATTTATGTCTATGTATCAGTGTGTTCACAACTCGGGTTGCTGGAACTGGCAGAACCGCAAAGTCATGTTTTTCCAATTCTTGGACTGTTTCCTCACGTTTCCTCACATCCATAATCTACTGGCAATCTTTTATGGCTGTATTGTAACCCTGTGGTTTTGAATCAAATCCATAAATGACTTCAGTATGTTTCTGAGAGAGAAATTTGCTGTGTGTGAGGCAGAGGGTGTGACGAGGGTAAAACCTTCTCATAATTTCTAGATAAATATTTGGGAATTCAAGACTCAATGAAATTTACAGGTTGAAATCCAAAAGTATTGTTAGAAGATTGTCTGTTTTTGTAGCTTCATACGCAATCCATTGGCCGATTGACTAGATTCTTGAACATCATTCAAGCCTAAGCTGCTTCCAGCAATGTTTTTTAATGATTTGGACGGCTGTTTGATCAGATTCAGATTCATTCAGTGAGCCCCTACAACTGCTTACACTGTCGCTCTATAAACAAATCCAGTTTCCCACAGCTCAGCCCTGTTTCAATAACAGTTGGTATTTTTCCTGCACCCCTCAGCTTCCAGAAAGAATTCTCCTTTGACGAAAAAGACGACCCAGCCAAAAGCACCAAGGATATAGATGTTAGTCTCTTGGCCAATCTCCCCAAAGGTGAGTAAGGGTTTTTTTATTTCTGCCTGCTTGTAAATGGCCCTCACAATGTCAGCTTTCCCAGGGTTTTTGAATTCACTGTTGTGCAACAGGAGCCTGTGTGCCAGGTGGATCCATGTCAAGATTTGTCTTAAACCAGTTTTTCTACAAACACAGACCTCAAATATTGTACATAAACTGCTGCACTCTCTATTTCCTTGACAGGCTCCATTTAGTCCAAAATGTAGGTCCAATAAAGAGTTATGATCCTATAGAGGTCTGTGGGTCTGTCAAGTCCCATTGGATGGTGAATGAAATAGTTACAATGAGCTGTTGAAGGTCACTTTTTGGTTAGCTCTTTACAAGCTGTGATCTGAGCAATAAGAAAGGAAGTATGTGAATGTGAATTGAAACTTTAAAGTGGTCCCATTTCTATGGATCAGATGGCATAATACTTGCATAATATTTGTTAAGCTCAGACACTAACAGACCTTTGCAGAGACGGATGTACTGACTCATTTCTAGCTCCTGGTAATGGCTGAAATTACAAACATCACTGAATTAACTATAGCTTATTACTTCAATAAATATCTTTACAACAGGCCACAAGGAGACTTTTTTCTGTTGTCTAGTTAACATACTCTTTGCAAATGGGTGTGTGCACTCAGTTAAAGATAGCGAATGCAACAACACCACCAACATACTGATGAGTCATCTCGACTGAAATGATTAAGCTGATTGCCTCAGGTCAATTCCAGAAGTTGGAATCTCCAGAGAAGACTTATATGCCATTAATAAACTTGCAGTAATGGATTTTTCTGGCCACTTGGGGGCCACAAAAACAGGCTGTAAACACTTGCATATTATCATATTAAAAAGTTGTTTTGGCCAACATGTTAGCAAACAGTTGTTTGGGTTTCTTGATTCAGAACATTGCAAACAAAAATCTGCCATCCAGATCTAACCTATAAATGTCCACAAGGAACCGTTTGGGCACTGCCAAGACAGATGTTTTCCTTTTACTGAGCTTCAATACTATTATGTTTTTTTTTCTTCCTTAGTCTCTGAATTGAGGAAACGATTTGAAGGCATTACCACAAGTACAAGTGACTGGGAAATGAACAGGTGAGGGTATGATGCATGTATTAAAGGACTGCAGGCATTTTTGATAATGATAATGTTGTGGAGGATAATAACACGTCTGAGGTTGACTACCTTTCTGTCCATGTGTAGAAAGGAACGTATCGCTCGCCGGTTGGAGGGCATAGAGGGTGAGGTGCATCCGTCGCTGCTGCCTAGCTTGGTGGCCAACCGGCTTCTGGAGGAGGACACACCACGTTACACCAGGGCCTCTGACCCCTGTGAGCCCTGTGGTGGTGCGACAAATACAGTCCCTAAACAATTTTTGCATTCTTTTCTTGTGCTTCTATAGAAATAACTGACTGTCCTCTCTCTGTCCTCTAGTTACAGTCCAGCGGTATGGTGTTGAAGGATTTGAAAGCCCAGAAATGCAGCTGACTGCTCCAGAGCGCCAGTCCAGGGCTCGATGCAGACCTGACCCCCAGTCTTCAATCCACACAGACCCTGTCTTCAGTTCAGGTTCTACCACCAATGCCCCAGAGCCGGAGTCCAAGGCCGAACGCATCGCCCGCTACAAGGCGGAGCGGCGCCGGCAGTTGGCCGAGCGCTATGGCATCTCCTTGGATCAGGAGCCAGACATGGACTGTCCCTCCCGCTACACTCGCACCCAGAAGGAGTCGGAAGGCTCAGAGAGGCGAAACAGAGAGGAGTTGATGGGGGAGGACGGGAGGGACATCACATTGAGTTCTTACACCAGTACCTCTGCCACTAGCCCGAGGGCGGGACGCACAGCACCAAAGCATAGCCACCCCGACCCCAGTTATGAGACAGGTCGAACCAGGGTGGACTCGTTCTCAGAGAGGGAGAGACTGATGAACCTGGAGAATCAACGCCGAGCTGCTCCTCCAGAGTTGCCTTCCTCATACATGGATGTAACATCATTGTCCTCAGCTGCCAGGGTGCCCGCCAAAGACTATTCAGTCACAGGGATGCCACCCAGTTCACCCAAGCTGAGCAGGCACCCTTCCCTCTCCTCACCCAAACACGGGGTATCTCCTGGGGACCTATTCATCGAGCAGCAGGCCCACAATATCCTCAGCAGACAGGGGTGAGTGGTGTTGATCACTGTTCCTTTTTGTCCTCATCTTTTTTTTATCCCTATTTATCCCTAAAGTAGTTTCCTTCTATATTTAAGAAACCGAGTAGATATGAAGGCTTTCTGTTTGAATACCCTGTCTCCTCTGCTCTGTGTTTGATATCTCATTAGCAGACCATTCTCTTTCTAGGGTCCAGACCCCAACTTCCCTTCAAATCCTTATACACAAGGTTCGAGCATGGTTTCCATGTTAGCCAGAACCTCGCTGTATCATTCTCTTTAATAGATGTACTCGCTGTGACAGTGTTATCCATCAGACTTCCTCTCCTCCCTCCATCTCTGTCCCGCTTATCCATACATGTCCAAGGTCGTCCTGTTGGCAGGATTGTGGTTTCATAGCAGGTCAGGCAACCTGAGCTTGTTGTGGAACTTTGAGTGCAGACCAAGTCCCACTGAGATCTACACTAGGGCTTGCAAAATACATGGGCAGATAAATACAAAATATATGTGTTGTGTTTCTGTTCCAGAGATTTCAGGTGCATCTATTGATGAAAGTAAATTACTAGACTTTAAATTCCCAAAAAAGTCTAACTGGCCAAGCTGTTGCTATTTGGTTAGGAAGAGCTATTAACCAGGCTGCTTGGATGAAGTATGTAGCTGATCCCACATTGTTAAAGAGAATTGATGGTGATCATGGCACCACATACTTCCTCAAAGGATAGTTCTAGTTTATGACAACCTGCGTTTCATTTTTGTAGTTTTGATGACGCTTCCTATCTGTAATTACAACATAGAACTCAAGTTATGCTGCCCCATCAATCACAGTTTTCAGACCGCCTTTATGGTTTAACTTCAACATACCTTAAGTAGCTGTGCTTGCACCAAGGTGGGATTATTGAGTGGCCAAAGTGGGCAGAGTGGGCAATGCCCCTGGCCCTTGAAGGCTCATGGTTGTCTTTGTGTTAAATTGATAACTTGCCCATGTTTGGTCATATTATACAATACAAAAATTATGTGATGAACCCTTTAAAATGGGTCTTGCATTTTAACCTAATCTTAGGACCCTGTCTGGCAGAAAATCTAGTCAAAATCTAATTTTAATACCTTTAATTTTTCAATGTTAACTTCACAATGTTTTAAATCTGTTTATAGTAAATAAACTGACTTATGGCACACTTGGGACAGGTTAGTATTCCAGCTAATAGGAACACAGGTCTGTTTTTAGGATCTGGGCAAAATGGGTTGGGGGAACATGTCGGGGGGGGAGACACTCACCCACTGTGATCCTATAGTTCTGGCACCCTAGTCGCGCACACAGTTTCCTGTGCAATGAAAGATTAAGCTATACTTTCCACATCTGCATGACCATGTCGATTTCACCTGAAGTAAATTTCATTATCTGTCCATAGTCATGCAACCCAGAATTTTTGACTGAATAGACTGCACATGTGGACCCGACCCATTTATTACCACCATTCATTAATTTGTTGTAGCGATGTTGTTCTGTTCCCAGTTCTCAGCTTTTACTCTGGTTTGTGTAATGTTATCATAACTGAAAAAAATACACAAATTAAGTAATAAATTGCAATCATCCTAATTGGTTCAGCCAATACTGATTAGCAGTTCCAGTGCTCACTAAATTAGATATTCATTAAATATGTGATTGTGAGCATGACATATGGCTATTCTTATACTGGGCTTTTTTTTCCCAACAGAACACTTTAAAATAAGGCACTCATAGCCAAAAGTATTGGTTCAAAAAGTAAGCCTTTTATGGTTTTAAAGACCCTAACAGACAGCAAATGTTTATTTTCTAGAGTATGTTATCCTATCTTTATTAGTGGTTTTATCTGAAGCAGATAAGTAAGTACTAAGGAGTGTTTTGGCTCCACTACTGATAGTACAGATAGCATCAGCACGTGCTCCGCAATATATTTCTCTTTCTCGTTTCTGTAACAACAAGCTGGCCCAGCCCAGATCTTGACCAAGCTTTGGCCCTGTAGTCTGTGTTTCTAACGAAAAGATGAAGATTATTCTACACCCATCTACACTGTCATTCCCTATCCTATGATTCTGTCTGCATCACTGTTCCTCAATCCCTCTCTCAGGTTTCAAACCTTGGCCTGTGTGTGTGTCTGTGGTGCAGGGAGGGTGTTGTGTTACTGGGCGGCTCAGTGTGACTCCACGGTCAGATCTGTGACCCACAGCTGGGCTTGATCAAGACCAGCGAGGCCTGATGGGAAAGAAGCAAATAGGGGAGCATCCCGCCTACCTCTTCTCAGGGTATCTGTGGGCCCTTCAAGTCTGACACGGATAGCTACATTTTAGGACTTAGTAGTAAAATGTTCTGAACAAAGGCCATCCCCTTTTTTTGGGGGGGCTTTTATTGCCTTTATGATAGAGACAGCTGAAGATAGACAGGAAAGGGGGACAGAGAGAGGGGACGACACGCAGCAAAGGGCCGCTGGTTGGATTCGAGCCCTGGGCCGCTGCAGCAAGGACTCAGCCTCTGTACATGGGTTGCCAGCTCTACCCACTGAGCTAACCGGGCGCCCCAGGCCTTCCTTTTTTAACCATGTAATGACCCTGAGTTTCAAAGTTAATTCTTGACCTTGGAATGTGTCTGTTTTACTAGGCGCAGTTGAACATAATGTTCCTTTAAAATAGCGTTTGAAGATGCTGTCAATCGTCAATGTTGGCAATCCTCTATTTGTGGCCATTTATTCTTGACAGTATAAAAAACATCTTTCAAATCTTTAAAAGCTCTTCTATCCCATTATATAAAAAAAATGTTGTTCTTTTCAAGTATCAAATCAAAATATCCCAAATACTTCAACAGAATCAGTTATTATTAGGAAAGATCTGAGCCCTCCACCAGGACATTTTTTTTAATTAAATGTAGCATTGAGTTTTTTTTGTTAGACAGCAGTTAAGTTGAAGTGAGATTGGTTGTTGCCATTAACTTTATAATTTAAAACCAACAAAAGACAACATGTGAGATGCATTTTTTTTTAACCTGTATTGGACGAGACAGGAAAAAGATGTGAAACACAGCACAGTTCCATGGCTTAGAATCAAACAGGAACATCTTAACCACTCGGCCACAAGGACACCCTGTCCTGCAGTGATTATGATGTACCATGTGATCAGACCTGATACTCGGCATGCTCGGATCCATTTGAATGCACTCTGGTATTAGACGTATTGACACACAGACCCGAGATCTGTGGCAATAAAACAAGATTCTACAGTACCTGATCCAATTAGACTGAGTAAAATTTGGAACCCATCCAATTTGGATCCTCTCTTTCTGTATTCATGACTGAGGGGCATTCCCCTTCATTCTGTTGAACTCAGGCCTGTGCTTAATGAAAGTTATTAGGCTATTTGTCTTCATGCAGCATCAGAGGTCCAGCGTGACTCATCTGCCTTCTGGCTGTGGTGGAATGAGATTTCCTTTGAATATCTACCTCAGTAGATAAGACCTGAGTTAGACAGGTCTGACCTTAGTGAGCCTCTTGCGCTCTCTTGATTGTTTTATTCTACCTAACATGGATACAGTCTGTTGCCAGATCTGATCTGATATAGGTCAGCGTGAACTTAGTGCTGGTTCATAGTTGATTTAAGCTAGACAGCCTGGTACATCTGTATATGTCTCCAGCTTTAGCAATTGTTACCAAGGTTATCTGGCTATCTAGCTGTTGGTCAGCTAACATTACCCAAGCAAGCGTAGCTACTATTTTCTCACATCAATGTTACAAACATCAAATGTAACGATACCAGGAAACAGTAGCTAGCTCAATGTTACATTCATAACGACTATGTTATGTTCGTATCATTGACGTGATTAATAAGTAGCATGCTAAAGAGCTAATATATACATACCTGGTTGGCTACAAGGCGCCCCCAGCTCCTGAAGTAAATGGTTCTTGATTCTAGACCAGCAAAATGTTTTTTTTTTTCCTGCCAAGAGCCAGTTCTTTGGTTGTCAAAACGCAAGCATTGGTTTGAGATAAAGCAAGGGCTCCAGGACAGCCCTCAAACTGCTTTGGTGGACATATTCTGTTGTTCTAGTCATTTCTCAAAAACCACAAATATCTCACCCGGCATGATTTTCCTCGTGGCCAAGACTATTCTCACTCTGCTCAAGCTAAATATGTGTGTGTGTGTGTTCCAAGAAAAAAGTCTGGATACTGAATCTAGAGTTTGAGCCACCCACCAACTCATTCATGTCTCCCATCGGGTTTCCATTGGTACAGTGCGAGGGCGAACCTGAGCACTGATTGGTTCCTCCAGACTGATGCTGAGGGCGAGACCCATTCCCTCATCAACTGGCCCTCAAGGTACACCCAGGCTGGTTGTGTCTTACCCCAATATCACCTGCCATGTTGCCATTCAGCTGGACTTACCAAAGCCCTACAAATCTTATGAGCAGTGCTTCTTAAATAGTACGGCAGAACAGGACCCAATACTGTTCCCTACATTACGATACTGCCTTCTCATCTCATAGGGTTAAACTTAATTTACAGTTTTGGTCCTGGGCTGATTATAAGACACAAATGCTTAAGAAGCTCTGCTTTGAGAGTCAACTGACATCACATCATGATCATCCTCATTGCCACAAGCTCCTGTTCCCTTTGCTTCAGACCATAACATCATTTGCCATGCCCCTGTTGCTGTGTTCAGTTTAACCCCCATGTGAACAGAAATGTTTGAAGGAACATATTATATTAAACATATTAAGTATAAAACATCTGGTGGTGATGTTGCAGTATTGCTTACTTTCTTGAGTAACACTGACCTTATATCACTCACTATAGGTTTGGGGACATATCTTCCACTCTTTGCCACTCTATCAAGAATTGGGCCCGAAATAGTGCTGGGTTTAATTTAAAAATGTTCAGTACCAGTGTTAATACAAACACATTTTGGTACAGATACTGATATGAACTTGTTGAGTAAAAATGTTCCTTTATAACTTCAGATCTTGCTTCTTTAGTATCAAAGTAATCATTGATACTAGTCTGTATGTCCATGGGTACAGTACAAACAGAAATTTCTAATCTTTTCTAGTCCAAAACTGAGAACATGATTACCATAGAAGTAAGAAGAAGAAAGAACAATAGGAGTTTATATACAGATATTTCCCATGTTCACATGCAAATATATGGCATTTCTAAATGACCCAACCTATTCAGAAAATATCAATATATGGCATGCCTGACCATGGCACATGGTGACCCTGCTTAAAGCCTGTAAATTAAGTGGAGTGGAATAAAATTCAAACCAAAAAGTCTAATGTTTATTCGACAATCAACATACTAGTTAGTTGTAGCTCTTATTTCAATACATTTCTTTGTAGAACAGGAATATGTTTTTCTTCCAATCTACCAAACATGCCAGATTTCTCAGTGGCTCAGCATTTAATGTCTTAACAAAAGCAGCCAGAACACAGGAAGGTTGCCATAAATAAGACAGGGCAAATAGTTGAAACTTATCAGCATTATCATTTAGGAAATATCTAAATGTTTTGATATTTGACCATTTTTGGTACTTGAATCTAAGGATACAATGCGGTCATTTATGGAAAAGTATTGTAGTTTGGTACCCAGCCGTAATACCAAACAAGAGAAAGATCAGTTCCTCCCCTCATGCTGAGAGTTTGAGTGCTGTGTTTTCTTCTCTTTTTATCAGAGATAAATAGAGATCTTTATGAATGTAAGAGACATATGCGTTGTCTATTCATGCTATATGTTAACCAGTCCTTTGTTTCCCTGAAGAATCAGAGTTAGGGAGAGGCTTGCCAGGGAGGAGGGCCGCCAAAGGAGCCCAGAGCTGGGAAATGTTACAGAAAACCTGGTGTACCGCAGACAATTTCAACACCAGACCCCAACTTCTATACACTACCACACAGACCCAGCAGGCCCCCAGCAGGCTTACTCCTATCCCCACCATCACCCCCAGGCTCAGCTCACCCGACAAGAAGTTGGCAGTTTCCCCAGTTACCTGTCCATGGCCTCTGGTCCCACATCCAGTGCCGGGCAGCAACAGCAGCCCCAGGAGGAAGAGACTGAGGATCCGGAGGACGTGAAGACAGAGGGCCTTCTGAGGAGTAGGAAAGCAGTGCTTCCCTCTGAGATCCGCCGCAGGGAGCGCAGCACTGAGGACCCGCGGAGAGGAAGGGGGGAAGAGGAGCTAGGGATGTCCAGGGCACTGAGTCTCAGCCAGGCAAGGGACGCTGAGGTAGAGGACCCTGCAAGAGGAGGACACAGAGGTAGAACCAGGTGGGACGAAACAGAGCACACCTCTCGTCTGCAGGCATCAGAGAGCAGGCCCAGAGAGCGTGAAAATGCCATCTATATCCACAAAGGGGTGGCTGCTACCCACATCCAGCCCAGAGCGGTGCATGCAGGCCTGGGAAACTCCACCTCCAGTACTGCCCCGAGCCACTCGGTGTCAGATGCTGGGGATCCACGAGGGCCCAATCAGAGGAACCTGCAGTACCAGGCATACGACCCCCCAGAGGCTAGGGAGGGTGAAGGTTTCAGTACCCGAGAAAATCACCAAGACACCCGGGTGTCTGTGGCCCGGCTCAGACATTCCTACATGGAGAGCACCACCACCCCTCCAACCAGCCGCAGGAATGAGCTGTAGGTGGCAAAGTAAAAGGCTGCTCACTGGCTGGCTTCTCTAGAACTCACATTGACGCTTGTTACCTAACATCGGCTGGCTACTGAATGACTAACAAGCAACTTAAGGCTGCAGTTACGTTAACGTCAAAGTTAGAGTTTCTAATCTGTAGAAATGGCATTCATGCGTTAATTGCCCAACACTAAGCTTCCTGGGATGTTTGTTTTTTGTTCTTTATTGGCACTGTGACTTGTATAGTTACTACCTGGGGCCAGTGAACGCGAGCATGCTTTTACTGCAAATAAATCTGCATGGTCTTCCTCGTACTTGTTTTTCAAAACCGGGTTGTGACTGAGTGTGCAAACATACACCTCTGCTTTAAAGCATTTGCATTTTTGCTACCAGTCCCTCTCTATCTCTCCCTCACCATGCTGTATTTTCTCTTTCCTTTGGGTATCTGTTTGTCTCTCTCCTTGGTTGACCCCTCCAGTGAGGTTGAGGGGGACAGGGCACTCCCAGACTACGAGGCCCCATGGAGAGGGAAAAGGGACAGGGGGCGCAGGCCCCGGCAATATATCTGTCCCGGGGAGAGTAGAAAGACCTCTGAGAGGTTTAGGACACAGCCCATCACTTCTGCTGAGCGCCAGGAGACTGATAGGTACTGCTCTGGACTCAAGAATGCATGGCTGAGAGTGAAGACTGCTGGGAAATGTCCATATGATCATGCATGTCAAAGAAATCATAGCATAATGTTGATTTTTATAATATTTGATGCACATAAATGTTGATTCCAATGAGGTTTTTGTTGCACTATATTGATTAATCATCAAGTTTGCTGTGATAATTCTGTAGTATGTAGTAAGTCCATAATCAGACTAATGCCATGAGCTGGATCATATTTTACCACAGGCCAATGGGCGTGACACACACAGACATGTACACACTCACTTTCTTCTTGATTTTGCCCGGCACTCTAACAACATTAGCAAACAGGGAAGCTTAAAGGCCAAAGGTCCCACTGATTGGGTCTTGGCAGCGGTCATCACGTGTGACCATACCACGTAAGCATGAATTGGCCATTGTTAGTAATCACTCCCTGAAACCATGGAACTGGACAGAGTCCTGTAATGCTGTCTAATTCTCTAGCTTAGTCTGCTTTACTTGTTTCCCCTTTTCATTTCTTCTCCTAACACTCGCCGTCACATTACCAGCATACCAGAAACAAAGTCCTGCTTCTTCTCACTGCATCTCCTCACCTCCACAGTGACTAGCCTTCTCCTTCCTGTATCTAACAACTTACCACCCTCTGATATTACGGAGTTATGAGTTATTGTTGCATGGATACTACTAGCTTTTGCTAATTTTCTTTTTCTTTTTGCACTATGGAAGGTCCTGCGTGAGTTCAGATCTTGCTTCCACTGAAGGTAAGTCATTTTTTCCCCCATAACTTGTTTCGGAAAGATTTTAAGGTTTTTACGGGAGAATTGATGGTTGAACATAGACATTCAAGACGTTTTGCACGTATTTTCTCACATGTACATCAAGTAAATGTGAGGCTCATGAACTACTATAGACTCTCTACGCAAGTGTTTAAAGTAATTGATTAAGCATGGCTAGCTTTAGTGGAATTATCAGCATTGCTATAGTATCAGTTTGACCAATTGCCGATTGCTTGGCTGGAACTTCCAGTTGGTTACAGCAGCAGTGAAAGCGTTGCAGTTTTGTTTGCGGCTGATGAATCATACGGGGACTCTGTTTTTAGTGTCATTGTGTCATTTTGACTTACTGCTACCAAAAGCACACATTATATTTTGGTTCTTAAAAGGGTGTCACCAAATGTCCACCAAAAACTGACTGGAGGACTCGTAACTCACAGACACTTCCACAGTTAGTAAATGAATTGTCTTCAGTTTTTGGATGGGCTGAGCTGATGAGATCATGGTGATGTAAAAAGCACCCAGTTAGGTTTATGATACTTGCAGGTCTTCATTATCGGACAGGCACTGTTATCTGCCATTCTGTTTATATAGTTGCCAATGAAAACAACATGATTGACATGATTATCTGGAGCTTCACAGTTGCAGCTGACCACAAATGAACAAAATGTGACTTTCCAGTGACTTTATATCAAAGCTTCAGGAATAGACACAAGGGTGGAGGCCGAATGACTCAAATCTCCCTCTTTAAGGTCTTTTTTTTTTTTTTTTTACAGGAAAACACAACATTTTGAAGTGGAGTTTATAGAGTCGTTACTGGTGCTCACAGTAGCATAACAGCACAGCGGCTGAGGGCAGAACCAGCTCATCTGCTTCTCATAAGCACACACTCAGCCGGGACGCTTTCTGTACAGACAGAATTAGAGGGAGCAGATCTCAGTGCAGCGGCGTCAGTCAAGGGGAATAGTTGTTTGGTGATGTCATGTCATATGTCTTGTAGAGAGAGTATGCGAGTGTGTGTGCAGCCATGCCTCTCACACCTGTCTGAGCTCTGCATAGTCTCCCCAATGACGCCAGTCACAGGTTTTGTGGTTTGCCTTTGCTCCCGGCTATAAAGCCAGATGGTGCTGTGGGTTTGTAATGATGAAGGTAAACATGATGATGGTGATCAGTGGATTTGAAATGCATTACACTTCCAAATGTGTTACCTAGAAAAGAGAGAGTCTTCTTTTATCGCAATAGATGGGCATTTAGTTGAACATCAGAGGAGTTTTGCATCTCAACAGTGAATTTGTTGTCTCATATTAGTAAAGTTGCGCAAAAAGACGACTACACAATTAAAACTTAAACTTAAATTAAAACCTATCACCATGATCACTGTAAATTGCATCTACTGTATATACTGTGTAAAAACAGAAAGCTCGAGGTGTAGCAACAGTAATGAAGGAGGGCAAGGCTTAGTGAAATGTAAATTATTTGTCTTCAAATGATTTACTCCACAAATAACGTTTTATGGGAAACCTGATTTTCAAGACTGTCAAAATGGTAGCAAATGAATTTCATGACATTTATTTATTGTAGTTCCAAATACGGGTCAAGCTCTAAAACCGCTAGATGCTACATTTCCCCTAATGCAGATGACATCAATATGACATCACCAGGGTTATTTTCTCAGACTTATCAAAGCTTCTCCAGAGCCTCCGAAGACATTATCTTCCTGTTTTAATAGGCTATGAGTATTATTCTCCATGACGAGTAAACTGACCTTTATGTATAAAATCAGTGGCGATCATATTTAACCCCTTAATGTTTCACCCTCCCTCAAGTAGCTTTAAGGTTTGAAAAATGTGTGTGACTATGTATTCTGTATTAGTTGCACCATTCCATCAGTTAGAAATATTCCTATATTTTGCATAATCTTGGACACATTTCCCCAACCTTCAGCCTAACATATTTGGTATTTTAGAAACTCTGATATCTTCGCTAGAATTTAAAATAAAGAATTGTAAGTTTGAGAAAAGTTTAGTTGATGTCTTCTTCCCCCTCTTCTCTCTCTTTTCTGAAGCTGATGAAGAGAAGCTAGATGAACGGGCCAAGCTGAGCGTAGCAGCCAAGCGCTCTCTCTTCAGGGTGAGCTTCAACTATCCTGTTTGCCCTCTCATTTCCACTGAGCACATGCTGGTTGCAGACACCAAGTACGGAGAAATGTGCTACCAATCAAGGACACAAACATTGACTCCGTCTGTCCTTTGTCCTCTGATTCCTGTGAGGATTTAGAGATGAAAACTTGGAAATACTCATGATTTGGTTTCAGCACAGGCATTCCACAGGAACAAGTATTTGAGTACACTTTACTCCGCTTCTGTGAAATTGGCCTCAAACATGTTGTGTAGTCTTAGTTGTTTAAGCTCAAGTCAGTAGAAACGTTCATTTACAAACAGCTTTGATACAATTACAAATAATGAACTCAATCATCTGTCTTTAATCACTGTTATGCAAATTCTTCAAACCATTACGGTAATTCATTCCAGCAGCCAATTCAGTCATCGCACCAACTGCTACTTTCTTTGCAAATATTCTCTTGTCAAAGCCAATGTTTCATCAGTCTGTCACTTGTAACCCAACCTCACAACAACCCATTGAACTTACCTACCTACTAGAGTTCAGGTGAAGTGGAACATACCTTTGAGCTATGATGTTTCTTCATGTTTACTCCAACATTTCTATCCAGGAACTGGAGAAGAGCCTTGATGGCGGAGCCCCTAAAGCGCGGTCCAGGAATGCAGCAGTGGACAGGAGACTAAGACGGACACAAGACCGATCCAGAACACAGCCAGTCACCACTGAGGAAGTAGTTATCGCTGCCACGTAAGTCTGGAAGTTACTTCGTTTAAAGCTGACGTTAAAGGAAAAGTTAGACTTTTTGAGTTAGATGAGAAGATCAATACCACTTTTAGGTCTGTGTGAAAGTAGATCCAAGAAAAGGGGTTAAGCTTAGCTCAGCATAAAAACTGAAGAATGGTACTCACTGCCCTTAGCCGTTGGTCGCCAAGAAATAATTACAGCATGCAACTCTACATAAAACCATGGACCATTTTGTGTACACATTAAAGCTGCAGTAGGTAATTGTTTTTATAAAAATATATTTTTTTGTCATATTTGCTGAAACCTTCCCTATATTTTTCAAAAACAGTGGGACATGAGACAGATAATCTGATAAAAAATAAGGTTTCTCGGGCTCATTTGGGCACTCCTGATGGTATTTGCAAGAATCCACCAGGCCTGAAGGAAAGCAACCAATCAGAGCCAAGAAAGATAGTTGATTGTTGGGTCTCATTCCCAGGGTGTCAAATACAGACGCTTTGGGACCCTGGGAATGAGACTAAACATTTAACTATCTTCAAGCCTCCAAACCAAAGCGTCTTTATATCTTTCTTTGCTCTGATTGGTTGTTTTTGTTCAGGCCTGGTGTACTCCAATACCATTAGGAGCACTAGAATAAATCAGAGGAACCAGATTTATTCACAGATTATCTGTTTTATGTACTATATTGGATATAGTGAAAGTTTCAGCAAATATGACAAGAAGTTATTTTCATAAGTAACCTACTGCATCTTTAAAAAAACAAAAACAAGATGCATCAGGTGACTCGGTGAGCTTTAGAGGTACTTGAGAGGGAGCCAGGCTGGTTGTTTCCCCTAGCTTTCAATCTTTATGCTAAACTAAGCTAACTTCTAGGGTAGTTAGATTCATATTTAGCACATGGGAGTGGTATCACTCTTCTAATCTAACGCTCAAGAAGAAAGTGAACGAGAGTGTGGCAAACTATTCATTAAATTAAGCACAACTAGAATGCTTTAAAGGGTCAGTTCACCTAAATTATTTATTATTTATAGAAAAATAGCAGTATTTCTAATATTGTCAACCTGATAGCTTATCCATGACATTTTCCGCTCTGGCCATGACTCCGAACTTCCATGAATATCTGAAATTAAATTTTGGTTTAAACATTCAGCCTTCTTTCTGCTTTATATTCCTCTCTCTTAGCCTCAGTTAATCATTTTCTTAATTACCTGGAAATCATCTGGTTCATTCCCTTCTGTCACCTGTGTGTTTTCTCTGTCACCTCTCTCTCTGTGACTTTGTCCCCGTCCTTGGCTACTGCAGCGTCCCCACTCACGTGCCACACACGGTGACTGTTCACACTGCTGTAGCACACGTACCCAGCCCCACCCTAGTTTGCAGCACTGTCCCGCCATACAGGTACATGGCACGAATATGAACGCTCGCACCGACCCACAGTGTGTGACTAACTGACTGATCTTTACTGAATGCTGCTCATTGACCACGACACAGCGTTCTTTCAGAGTGGTATTCTCACAAGTGGGTTTTACCCTACAGGATGTGAATGAGTGTGAGGTCCTAATGCACAGTGTTTGTTTTTTTGAGTTTTGGTGCCCTCCTGTGTGCTCGGAGGAAACTACATGATTGAATTCTTTAAGAAGACTACAGGGATTTTACTTAATATTATAGCTTTGTTTGTGGTGGGCATGACTCACTCACTGCTGCCTGCCATGTAGCATGCCACTTCCTAGCTTGCATGAGCCCCTCCCATGCTTACCAAAAGTCTCCCTTTCTCCTACCTCTTTTCCCCTCTGGCTGTCATCCTGCCCTCAGCCTGCAGGCAACCTCGCAGCAGAACGCCGCCGCCCGGGAGGCCCGGCATATGCAGGATACTCACGAGGTCCAGAGATCCAAGCCGGTGTCCACAGTCGAGGAAATAGACCAGAGCCACGGTCAGAGCCACATTCAGAGCCAGGGTCAGTACCAGTACCAGGATCAGGATCAGGGCCAGGGTCAGGAGGAGCCTGACCTCTGCACCCTTAGCCTAGCAGAAAAGATGGCGCTGTTCAACCGACTGGCTCAGCCTCCCACCAGGGTAACCCGCACCAGAGGGGACACGCGCCAGCGCAGGGCCAACGCTCGCTACCAGACACAGCCCATCACACTGGGAGATATGGAGCAGGTAGGGGAGGAACAGGATTGCAGTTTATCCTGTAGAATAACTTTTCTCATTCACGTATTTAATTTATTCTAGTCTTATTCTTATTCTATATATTATATATATATATTATTCTAGATATAACTGTTAAAAAAAAACCATATTTTTAGCTATAAGGTATCATTTTTATGCTGTATACACTTATATAAATATAATTTTAAAGGAATAGGCTGGTGTTTGTTCTGTGCACAAGCTGAAATGTAAAAACTAATGTTCTGTGGTTTTATGGAAGTGACATTCTGAATCTACTGTGTACCATGGGCAGTTACAATGATTGTCTGGAGTCTCATCACTGTGAGAATGCCAGGCTAAAAGCAGAGACTTCTGGGGGTAACCGCACCCGAGGAGAAATGATTTCTGCCTGTAAAAACTGTTGTTTTTACATTGTGTGCATGGAATAAACAAATGAGGTACTATGTGTTGATTAATAAGCTTTAGAGGTGTTGGTAGTATTAATATTCCCATTTAACTCTCAGCAAAAAAGAGAATAAGTGTATTTCTCCATGTGTTGAACATTGCAAGGAAATACTGTGGACTTTTCTCCACAGGCAAACATTTAGTGGGAAAAGAGGAAATCCCTCGTCCATAATGGACGGTCTGCATGTCTGTAGATGGGTAGATAAAAGTAGCCACGGTCAAATTACAATATGGAAAAACTAAATTGGAATAATAAGTAAAAATCAAGGCCATAAGATAGGTTAAAGGTCCAGTGAGTGACATTTAGGAGGATCTATTGTCAGAAATGGAAAATAAAATTCATATATGTTTATATAAGTTGTGTTTCTGTTACCTTAGAATGAGACGTTTTTATCTACAGAGGAAGTGGGTCCTCTTCTGCTGAGTCCGCCACCTTGAACCACCATGTTTCTACAGTAGCCCAGTACGGAAAATCCAAACACTGGCTGCAGATAGGGCCTTTAGGGGTTTTTTTTTGCGAGTTTCACAGCAATCATAGTTTCTCCTACACGCTTCGTTGACACAAGGTGTTTCAGTTGGTTGTAATATGCAGTCTCACCACTGGATCCAACTAAATCCTACACACTGGTCTTTTAAGATTTTAAGATTAAAATATGAAGCATATGAGAGTTTCAGTCAGGTACAGTATGACCCATTCCTGCTTTCAAAATAGAGAATACATGAACCATGCATTGTAGCATGTGCGTGTTTCTGCCCCAGGAGTCTTCAGACATAGATGAACAGGAACTATGTGACAGCCCCGTAGAGCACCTACAAGTAAGGTTCCTCTGAACAATCACCATGCATTTGCCTGAGACAGTGGAGGCTGACACAGCTGGAGCACTCTTCTCAGAAATGAGCATACGTTTCTGTGAACAACACGTGCTGTATGGCATTTCATTACTGGCCCGTATCCATGTTGTGTGATTTCACTATGAATGTACAGTGCATGGCAAGGCTTCTGGGTAAGCTGTGACTCATAGTCCTGCTGTGGTGTGTTGATGGGTGATGCTGCCGGCCGTATTTCAAGCAAGGCTGTGGGCTCGGAGGATGCCTCCGGGGTGAGAGGAGAGGAGAACAAAAGCGCCTCAGCAGCTATTTTTCATCAGCCCTTTCCAAACTGGCAACTGTGTCAGGGAGGGGATGCATGAGAGAGAAAACTCAAGCAAAAAGGAGTTAAACAACTTTGTTTATGTAAAAGATTTTGCAAGATTTTTCTCAGCAGTTTAGTGGTTTCCATGGATGTCTACTGTTGCTTCTCATTTAATCTGCAAAAATGTCAGGTTAGTTCACGTGTTTTTGATATGAAGTAATGGTTATAAATGTGGGAAGTGTGTCTATTGGCTACAGCTGGATGCATTGTGCGTTGGGGTGGGGGGTGGGGGGTGGGGGTTTGCTGGCATGGCTTTGTGATGTGGGCTGCAACTGACCGGCGAGATAGGCTGCCCTTTGATGCTCAGGAAGTGCAGTGAGTCAGCCAGGCGCTGATTAGTCAGCGTGATTCTCTCGATTTTGTGTGTGTGTGTGCAGTTTGCCCGACCCGTTTCTCAGCCTCTGTGACAAACTGACCCACTTCTTTCTTTGCCTATGTCTTCCTCCTTGTTGCACAGCTTCAGAATGGTACCGGCTCTCGGTTTCAACACCTCCCTACTTCATCATCCTCCTCCTCTGCTCTGAGAGCAGGAAGCACCGTCTCCACTGACCACGCCGGAGACATCCACATAACCAGAGCAGCACCCCGGGTCGAGCCCCTCCCTCCCTCCATCTCTGACCTGTCCCTGCCCCCTCGCCACACCGACGACCCGGCCTGGAGGTCCCAGGACTCCGTGGACCACCAGAGGTACCACATCGATGCCAGGGAAGAAGACAGAGCTGATCTTGGAGGAGGGAAGAGGAAGCTGCCCTCTCCCGAGGGATCGATCAGGCAGGCCGCTCTGCCCCAGCCCCAGACTGGAAGAGAGAGGAGGGGGGAGCAGGACGAGGAGGAGGCGGAGCAGCAGCGCCTGGACAGAGGGGGGGTGGCCGTGCAGAGCTCAGAGAAGCACATGTTCCAGGAGTGGCAGGAGGCGTATCTGAGGGAGGAAGGACAGTATCCAGACAGTCAGAGGAGCAGGGCCATCAGTGGAGGTAAGAGCAGCAGAGAGGATGTCTGAGCTTCTTACTCTCTGCCTCCTTTATATTGTAGAACTAGTGCCAACATTCTGTGGTAAGTAAGCGGGTGTTGGATGTTAGTTTTGGAAAAAAAATAGAAATAAAATGAAAACAGTGGTGGATAGATGGAGGAAGAAGGCTATAGATATTTAAAGTTTGACTGTAAGACTTAAATGAACACCAGCCAATTTCAGCATTGTCATAATCTTTTCATGTTAGCGTTTAGCATGTTAAAATCTGGATTTTGATGTATGTTATCCATCCAGGAGGACAAAGAATTTTGTGGTAAGCAAAGGAAGTGGTTGTACAATGTTAGCCTTCTTTAACGGAAGATATTAGCAAATATTAGCATGCTAAAGCACTAGAGACTAAAAGACAGTGAACAGTTTACCTGCAAAACATTACCATGTTAGCATTGTCATGGTACTGTCATGTTAGCATTTAGCACTTTTAAATCTGGTTTTTAATGTAATTTATCCACAAAAGAATACAAATATTTTTGTAAGTAAGAGGCTGTACAAGGTTGGCTTTCTTTTAACAGAAAGAAAGGATGCAAATTATCAAATGTCAGCATGCTAATACGTTAAACAAGATGGGGAACATGCTAAACATGACCATCATTATGGGCATGTTAGCATGCTGATATTAGCATTTATCATATAAAGCTAAGTTTTTTTTATGTGTTTTACACTATAAAGAAAAAGTCATATTTGTTAAGTGGTTGTGGTTTAACAGAACAAAATTGAAAGAAGACAGCGATGCCGGAGAGAAGAGTGAAGTAGGCTTTAAATATTTAAAGAGCAAACTGTAAGACTGAACAAAAACCGACGTCAACTTCAGTCCACAGTCAACAACCACACTTCCTGCCTGTGTGTTGTCTGTGAAAATGCTACATTCAGATTGCGGTTACGGGCTTCCTTTATGTCTGAGCAGCAGTAACTCCGAGCCAAACACTTTGATTGGCTCTGTCGGTGCAAAACTTCAGACGGCACAGGAATCAGTCAGATGATTGCTGTTGTTCAGTGGAGTGGGGCCGGAGCAGAGCAGTATGGATGCACACACAAAAAGCAGGCAGTAGAGCTTCAGTGTTTCTACAAAGCAGCGTGGGCTATTTGATTACAGCTGTGGCAGGGAGGTTTACAGCTGTGAAAAGCAGCGCAGATACCAGAGACTCTTGGTAAGCATGAAAGATGTTCACTCCCACGCCTTTTTGTGCTGCTTACTTTGCACTGTGAGAGTGATGACTGTACCTTTACGCAAAACCCTGTAGTCACGGGATTTGGGGATATTGAGTTATTTGGAAGGGTGTATGCTAAACAAGGAATGATTATCAGGGAGTTTGATAAATGGATCAATTTGCACAATGTATTTTAAATCCTGTTTCACACCTCTTTTTATTCACATAAGCCCTTCCTAAGCAGAAAACGATGCCATTTTAAATCTAATCCACCGTGGGAACCATGTTAACATTTCTGTAGTTGCCGTCACGTTATTGATTTTACTCACTCCTCTGTGTGTCTGCTCGTGCTCACAGAGCTGCTGGAGTCCACTGTGGTAACATCCAGAGCGGTATCTGGTCTGCCCCAGAGTGTGTGTCAGCCTCCAGCGGCAGACGCACACATAGACGGCAGCGGACCCACAGCAGGTCCGGTTCAGCTCGAGGACGGAGAAGAGCTGAGCGACATGATGACGGCCAGACACATGTCCATCAAAGAGAGGTGAGCCCCGGCTGCTCTTACTGATTTTTTTAAAGTTTGGAGAGTTGTTGTTTTCTTGTTTTCGTGCATCCAGAATGTTGTTTTCCTGCATGTACATTTGAATCTACATCTGCTTGGCCTAAAAAAATCTCCCTTTGCATCAGTTGGCCAGCAAATAAGGCCAACAAAGCTAAAGGCTGAGTGAAGGGAAGATTCCCTTTCATTCTCTGCTCAAAATGTGGGTTAGATGGAGACTGAGATAATAAGGACGAAACAGAGCAAGTTAGTGGGTTAGTAGTTGTTTTTCCATTTTCAACTACTTTCTTCTACTTTCCAACTTAAGTGTGGCCCTCAGGCCCATGCCCAATGGTTCCTACTGAAGATGTGCATCTTTAAAAACAGCATATAAACATATACAAATACGTGCATTTAAAATCAAATAGAATATCTTTCCTAAAACAGCTGGACAATGTAGTGTCTAGCAGATGTTAGCAGGAGGGAATAGTACATTTGACAGCTGCACATTTATACACATTTGATGTATGTGGGGTAAACTACAGTGTGTGTATGTTCATGGCAATGAAGAAACATAATAATGATACTAATAATTAGATACACATTTTTTTAATTAAAAACTTTAATTTTATCATGTATCTTTGACTTTTAACTGACACTCTATATTGGATTCCCAGACAAATGAAATGATTACATAATAGTCTAGTTATGTCATGTGTTAACAAGCAAACGATACGCTCTAGATTGATTGATGACATAATAGAATAGTACATGTAAGCTGGTGTTAAAGGATGTGTGTCGCCTGTTCCTGCCTGCTCCTTGTACTTTCTGTCCCATCTCACTCGCTCTTTCACCACCTCAGGACGTCTTTGAGTCATTTAGAAAGGGTTTTCTAGTGGAGGCGGGATCTGTATCCCAGATACAGCTTGCGACATCTATTCAGTGTTACTTTTATCCTGTTTTTTGGAGCCCCCCGGGGCAGAACAGGACGTCCCCTCACTGGGTCACAGAGGGGTGGTTGTGAGAGGGGGCAGAGGGCACTGCCAAACAGCCTGACCCCTCCATTATGGGTCTTGTCTGCTCCCCTGCTCAAGAGATGAGAGCTCAATAATTGAACCTCTGTTCTTGTCACACTATACTTCAGTTTGTGATCTTATAATCCTCCATCTGCTTTATACGGCACCCCGGTTTTTTATTTTCTGCATGTCCAGACCGTGATTTTGAGTTAGTATTTGTCATACAGTCCACTTCCCCGACTGTTTGGCCTACATTTTCTTCAGCAAAAATAAACTCCAGCATCTTATTGCTTTAACTCCATGTTTAAACCAAAGAGTGTCAAATACTCTTCCAGCTCCAGTTACACTGACTAACGTCTCTAAGTGATCTTTATGTTTAATTGTACTTTGGCTGTCACCAGTGGCTGCTGTGGCTAACTGTGGCTGTGTGTGTGTGCTATATTCACTGTAAACAGTCCCGTAGATGAGACTAAAGGGCACGTTTCCTTGTGGCTTCAGTGTTGTGACAGGTTGAGTTAAAAGCTCAGCTGAAGCAACACTGCAGTTTTAACAAGTGCTAACCTTGCAGTGACCTTGTGCAAAGGGCTGTCTGTCTTCTTTGTATTGGCTCTACACTAGTATCTTTCTGTGGTGATGGTATTGATGTGTCCCTCATTGCTCATTGGCTAAATCTTTGCAAAAGTCAAATTTTGAGTGATCTTAAAGGAACTGTTTGATATTTTGGGAAATATGCTTACTATGCACTATTTGGTGAGAGTTGGGTTAGTTAGATCCTGCAGTTGCTGCTGGTTGCATGACACCCACTGATGCCAAGACTCCAGGAAGTGACTGCGCCTGGGGAGAAAGAGTTGCAGCACTGAAGTTCCCATAAAATCCCAACATCTCGGTTATTGTAGGTTATTTAACCCCCTTCCAGACATACTTTCATGACATGGTTGGTACCAATGGATATGTTAGGTCATCTAGTTTGATATGATACTCGTATATTTACTCTAACCTTAAAATGGAGCCCACTACAGCTTCTGAAAGAGTGCAGAGTTGAAAAGGTAAGGATAATGGGATTACAATCAGATTTCAGGGGTGGCCACCCCACGCCCCTCCTCTGGACACACCCCTGCCACTATTATGAACTTTATGAATTTATTATAACTTTTTCTCTTCTTTTTCTGCTTTCTCTCGCCCCTCAGAGTGGCCTTGTTGAAGAAGAGCGGCGAGCAGGACTGGAGGAACAGGATCAATAAGAAGCAGGATGTGGCGAAGGTTGCCGTGGGTGAACAGCAGGCTCAGCTCTGGGAGGTGGAGCAAAGCTTCAAAACGAAGGTAACCACCTGACCTGCACACTCACTGCTGACTGTACACATCGACAGGCAGTCTGTCTATCGTGTCTGTTATATTATGTGTTTCACGCAGTCGTGACTGTACACGCCATTCACGTCATGTTTAAAAGATGGTAGCAAGTTCTACAGTGAACTACTTATCAGGAGCATCCGTATTGTGACTCTGATTTCAACTTCAAAAAACAAGTTCAAACACATGAACGCCTGCAGGGAGCTGCTTTTAACTGTCACTTCACCACTTAATGCCCATGAGACTTTAACGCAGCACTAATACAGTGGCAGTGACATGCCACTGAGGCTTCAGTAATTAGATTTGATCCACAGTGTCGCAATATGACAGCAAGCATTTCCTGTATCAGCCTCTGAAGTCTAAACAGAGTTCTTGGGATGTTTTTGATCATGTAACTCTGGAGTCATAGGAATGTCAGAGTGATGACAGCCATTAAATAACCAGTTTTGCAGTAGAAATCTGCAAATTGTACATGGTAACAATTTTGGATATCTATAAACAGAGAGGTTGTGTATGTCCATGTCTGTGTCTTTTGATCTCTTTGTGTCTTTCCTCCGTTCTGTCTCACACACAGCTGTTGCTTGTTTTTGACTGTAAGAGTTAATAAGCATTTATTTCAGTCATGGCAGTAGAATAGATGCTGTTGTACCTGGATCAGTCGCTCATTATTGTGCATGCCGTTTTAATTTCGTGCATAAGGAAGTGTATGGCTGCCAATATTAAAATGAAATTATTTAATTCAGTTGAAAAGTCATTTTTTTCATTTGTGCACACCTGATGAAGGACAATAGGAGTTCAATTATAATCTTGTAAAATCAAAATTTTCATTTTTCACTTTTATCTTAAAAAAAAAAAAACAGCCAAAATGAAAATCCAAATGAAGACTCAGTTGAAAAATAATTCTCAGTATTCTCCATTAGCATAACACTGCCATGGTGATGATGAAAATGAATGTGAAATGGTCTTTTCATTTTTATTTTCATTAGTGATAAGCTAAATTAAAGACATAACTCAAATGCAAAAATCCTGTTTGCAATTTCTTTCAAGTTCATGTTTAATGTTGTATGTAATTAGAAAATATCCATTTCTCGTTTAATTTAATTTCATTGCCATTATCTGCATACAGTTAGGACTGGGTGATATTGCTTATGAATAATATCTTGATGTTTTTAGGCTGTGTTGTGATATACAATACATATTTCGATATACACATATTCTTTAGAATATGTATTGCTGTAGATTTAACTATCAAACAATATAGTAGTTAATGAGCTTACCATAAACATCTACTGCGGTGAAATGCAATATAGCCATTAATGCAGCGGTAATATTAATCTACAAGAATCAGATATAATAGTTGAACACTATCATGTAACCTTTTACTGCAGAATTTTACTGCCCCAATTTTTCACAATAATGCTTAGGAGTACACAAGAAATCTTTATTATTGTAATTGAATTTTGATAGTAGTTCTGCATTTTCAAGATGAAATTGGATTTTACTTTTGTCATACATCCATCCATGCACAAATTGAAAATTAAATTTGAATTTGAATTTGAAGTAATTTGATTAGAATTTTTGCAACCACAGACTTCCATACATAAGCTTAGTTTGTCTATAGAATATCTGATGTATGCTTGTTATAGTTATTTTGATTAGAGATGATCAAGGTCGCATTAAGCTCAATTTGAAAGCCTAATTTTGCTGGATATTGAGATGTGAATTTTTTTACTCAGAAAGTAATTACTTTGTGTGCACTGTTCGACTAACTGTCAAGAGTCAGTGACCGTAATGACTAACTGTCCTGTGTACTGTAGCCTCTGTCTCGCCTGGTTTCAACCTTTCTTTCCACTGAACTGCATGTTACATGAAACCTTTCATTTTTCTGTTTGCCTTTGTCTCTGTTTGCATGTCCTTTACGTTTCTTAAAAAAAAATAAACCTCATTTCATCCTCTGCATGTTGAGTGGGTTTCTGTGTCGGCTACCTCTGTTTGTTTTTAAAGGGAGGGTTAGGGTTGGACGGTACCTCTCTGTTTAGACATATTCACAACAGCTACCATCCACAGCAGCAGGGCTGTTTTTGTTTCCAGCTGCTTATCAGGGTTTGTTCAGCTCAGCTCCACAGCTCTGCCTCTACATATTCTGGTTTAAGGTTTTCAGTTCATTTAAGGTCAGGAAGAGTTTGGCTTTTGATGCTCTGATGCCGCTGCAAATAATCTGTTACGCTAAAGGATGGCCTTTTCCAAATGTTTTCTACGTGATGTTTAAATCAGATCAAGACATTTTTTAATCAGTTTCCAGTGATAGTTAACTCGAGGTCAAGGGGAAGTTGTTCATCTTGTTTTTATCCTCTCATTCACCAGGACCAGTGGACACAATTCAGTCAATTTCCTGTTTTAGTTCAAAGAAGAGCAACACTAAGGACTAAACTAAAGATCAGGCAGATCCAAATTTGAGCAAATGTCAACAGTAGAGCAAATAAAGACTCCCATTGTTCCAACCCAGGACATGGTTTTTGATGAAAGTGCCATTCTTTTTTAGGGCTGCAAATTACGATTACAACACTTTCTTCATTTATTAGTTGTTTGGTCCATAAAATGTCAGAAAATGACGAAACATTTGTATCACTGTTGATCCAAAGCCCACAAATGCCTTGTTTCATCCACAACCAAAATATATTATCATAAAGGACTAAAGGAACCAGAAAATATTCACATTTATTAATGATCAAAATAGTTGGTGATTAATGAGTATGTAGCAACTTAAAGGGCCTTAAAATGAAAATAACAGTTCAGAGAGTCCAAATGTTGGATATATAGGTAGTTGATCGTGTGTTTTGGCCATGATATTATTTCCCGGGACAAGAGAGCCTTCAGAAAATATGTCCCTTCTCTCCTGCGGCTGCTTGTCTGTAGGATGATGAAGTACTGATGATGATCGATGAGTTCGCTGTGTCCGACCAGCTGTGGGTAAGGCCAGCATGCGCGGCCAGAATCACACACACACACACACACACACACACACACACACACACACACACACACACACACACACACAGACAGACACACACTGCGGTGGTATTTATCAAGCACATTTAAATTGGATTGGATTAGTCATCTAAATTCTACATCCTTAACTCCATTTCCTGGCTGCTAACACACTGTCTTGATAAATACATCCTGGATGTAACACACATTCAAACATCTGTTTGTGTTTGTGTGTGTACATGTGGTGGTATTGGTGATGGTGGTGTGTGTGGGTATACCTTTTTACAGTTCTGGTGATGGTGTTGTACTGTGCTTCACTAATTCAACCTCTGGTTTCAGAGTTATGACTGTGTCGAGGATTTCTCTCACACACTGTGGTGTTTAAAGTTTCACATTTGGTTTCGGAAATATAATCTTTATTTGCCTCTAATCAGCAACTATGTAAGAGATATTTATTGGTAGTGTGAGCTGTGTATGAAAGCTGGAGTACGACTATAATCCTTGTCCCTGTTCCAAAATCTCAAAGGCCAGAACTTTTGTTGACATTAAAGTCGAGCAGTTTGGCACACTTCTCTGCTCTGCCTCATGTTTCCTCTCCAGTCCAGCTGCTCGGGGCTGTAGCTACCCTTGGTAATATTACTCTGACTGCAGCAGTTCAATGACACGAAGAAGAGTTTACACTCTAATAACACAAATTTGACACCTGATGGATTATTAAGACTGATTATAATGTTCAAGCAGACTAAATATCTTAAAATTTGACTTTTTAGGCAAAAATCTAATAAACTAAAGCTGCACTAATCCATATTTTTATCAACAATGGATCAACTTACTCTGTATTATGTGAAAGGGGTCTTTCGTACTGACAACCCATTGAGAATTCCACCAGCTCTGCCCTTAACAGCAGACCAAGTTGGAGAGTAGCTGGAGATGAGTTGGTGGAACCCAAAACAGAGTGAAATATGCGAGAATATGCTATACTTACATTTGTCTGGTGGCCAGAAACATGACTCCAAATAGGTACTGATGTTTCTAGATATGTAAATAGTAGTGTTGAATGTGATGACACAAGTATCCGGTCCAGATAATGTACTTTTTACGAGTATTAATAATAAAATAATAAAAATGTAATTTAAAATATCATAAATATAGCAGCAATTCCAAGGCTGTTCTGTAAACAGTTTACAAAATAGCAACTTCTGATCAACCCATACATCAATTTCAGGCTTAAATTAACAACTTCCAGTTAGTCCAAACCATGTCCGGTTTAAGCCCTGCCCATTCCGAGTACAGATATGAATACAGATAACTTTAGTTGGTTTAACAGATACAGATAATAGTATTAATAATTTCCCCATAACAACCTTAACATAAAATAATAATATGTAAGTGTTGTTTACAGCTTGTTACACTGCACGCAGGTGGCCAAGACAATTTAATTAATAGTGGTTTTGTATTACTTAAATTAAGTATTGAACTTTCATAAACTCGGGGTACTTGTGAGAGACAGGTTAAAAAAGGATAAGATCCAAATTGAAGCAGCAGAGGCTGAGGTATCCTGACTTTGAGTTCCTAACATTGGGGAAAGCTCCAAAAACACACTGGATCCTACACTTCCCAATATGCACCGCCTACCTCTTTCTAACTCTACACCTCCTGGTTGTTACATGCTTGCTGCTATAAATGTGTTGTCTCCAAGCCCAAGCCTAGAAGACCCTGATGCTATCACTATGACATCATCAGGGTTAATAGGCGACATTATACAGTTTTCACAGTAAGCTGAGCTTCATGTGTAAAGTCTTTGGAGTGCCAAGTGGGGTTCTTTTTTTGATCCCATGACCTCAATATTTCTAAAATCCTGGCTACGGCCCTGCAGCTGCTGTACACTTGATGATATCTCTGTGTGTGTATTTCCTCTCCCCATGGCCCGCCTCTATAGGAGCCGGTCTTTGCCTCTACTTTCTCTCCTCCTCCTGAGCCTCCTTTCCATACTCCCTCCCCTGATGATTCAGCCAGTCAGGTAGGATGTTGTCAGCTCTTGCCGCATGCATTGCTTGACCTTTTGCTTGCTTTTCCCCTCTTCCACCTACTTGAACAAGCCCTGAAACCCATACACAAAGCCCATTGTTTTCAGTTGCCACTTCACTACTTGATTTGAAATACCCTGTATGGAGAGTGTCAGCCATACTTTTTGGCACTGCATTCTTTCACATTACAAACCCTTTCACCCCGAAACAGACTTGACAAACCAAGTCTTTCTGCTCCGTTGGCTGCATCCACTGTGGTAAAACGACCACAGCAAGTGCACATTATGATCAGTAGTGCTCTGCAGTCCTTCACAGCCACCCTCCTCTTGTTTCATGCCACTAAATATTCCTCCCCGTCCCCAAGCTTTGTTGCTTTGCCTATGAACTCAGCATGGCAGCCCCTGCAGCTTCTAATTGCCCGTGCTGAGCTTGGACATTTTCCACCATCTTTTTCATCCATATCTCTAAATCCTCATCCTTTCTTGCCCTCCTCACCCCCACACCTCTGGTTGTGAAGGCCAGATCTCCCAGACCCATGCAGGTGGATGAGAGACACCCCTGGAGACGGAAGGTGACCCTGTTAATACTGTATACAGCGCTCTCGCCAATCCCCACCCCCAAGCTACCCCTCTCCAGTCAAAGTCAACGCAGTGGTGTTGGAGTTATGTTGTAGTTCGTCACTAAAAGACTCTGCTCTGCTTGTGTTCTTTGTCTTCACTTTAACTTTCATTTCCATCTCACAAATGACACTAAAACATTTCTCCAGTCTTGTGCAACCAGCAGAAAGAAAAGATAATCAATTATTTTCCTTTAGATGTTGGGAAATAGCTTGTTTTCAATGTGACGCAGGGATTAATGTGCTTCTTGTGTTTTAGTTATCCCCCTTTGGTGTACTTATTTTGCTTGGCCACATTGTCTGTTTGATGTCATTCTTGCTGTTAAAGGAAATTCCACATTTTAACACTTGATCACTGTCACAGCAAATGGCAATGTAAGATGTAGTGCTGGTTCCATCTTGTTGTTTGGTTGTGTGTTTTTCCTTTTACTGTTGTGTACAGAACTTAACATCTTAATATGCTTTGCCTAATATGTGCCTTTATAACGGTGGTAGTAACAGAAGAATAGTAATTTTCCCTTAATAACACTTCATTAATATGGTCTATTCATATGTAACAACACAAACTTCAAGTGTTTACAGTGTCTATTCTAAAGTGAAGTCTTGAGGAACTTCCTTACCATCAATAAACAGTAATTAGCATGTTAACTAAGGAAAACTCTTAGGTAATGGCCTTGTAGTTGTATAATATTCTCATGCAGAATAAGCCATTAATAAGTGCTTTATGATAAAAAGCCAGTAGTACAGATACAGTTTGATTTAAAGTGGTTCCTGGAATGTATCGAATATGACAACCTGATGATATGTCACAGTGCACATGTACCCTAAGGTTGACTATTCCTTTAACTTTCAGTGCATCAGGAGTATTCAGTGTCTCTGACAGTAGCGTCTCTCTCTTTTCATAGAGAATAGCTGATGCTGAAATGGAGTGCCAGAGCATCGAGGCCCACATGTCCATCCAGGAGCGGAAACAGCTGATAGTAGCCCAAGAGGAGGCCTGGAAGACCAAAGGCTACGGAGCCGCCAACGACTCCACCCAGTTCACTGTGGCCGCGCGCATGGTGAAGAAAGGTCAGAAGGCATTGCTGTGACGACAAACCAAACACAAATACTTCCTCTCCATTGCTTAGGGGTTTATGCACACATTCACTGAATTGCAGTCAGTCATTACACCACAGAGTCCACAGATCAGTCTCAGCTCTCTGCCCTGAATCCTCCAAAGCCCCCTTTTCAATTAGCACTTGACTAATGACTCCTTTTCCCTGCATCAGACCCAAACACATCAGGCCAGAGTAGCAGCTGAGAGGACTCTGCCCAGGCGCAAAGTTATTTTATGGTTGGAGTTGTTCCCTATTAGCTCCAGGCTTGGTCAGAAAGGGGCAGCTGCTGGGAGGTTTAATCTGTGCTTTGGGGGAGTCGATGGGTTTGGCCAGATTATGGCTGATGGAGAGAGGCAGAGGAAGGATTAGCATCAGAAACTTTTGCCTCAACCATCTTCAGAGCAGTTAAGAAGTAGTAAACAATGACTGTTTGCACAGTTCCAACAGAAGGGGACCTTTACTACTGCTGCTTATAATTCCTCGTTTTATGTAGCATATGACGGTCGCTCACCTCTTCACTCAACCATCCGCTCACTAGCTCTAACTACATTTTGGTCCCCGACCCTATACAGACACATACCTGTTGTTTTCTATTTAAACCCACAAACCGACGTCAAGACACGTAGCCGTTCCCAGCATTGATAAATTTAAAAAGTGCATGTCCTTGAAAATAAATAAAACTCTTTATAGCAATAGGGACAAAGCATGTGAGTCAACCTGCAATGTTTGTTCATTCTTTCACTTCCATTCAATTTCGATAAACTTCCAACTTCCCTCCAAAATATAACATTTATATCCATAATAATTATTCATGCAGACATAACTTAGTTAATCTGATTTTCAAAACTGTCCCTTCAAAATAAATCACTTTCTGCATCACAGAATATCTGACTGGAGAATATGTCATAATGAGGGAACAGCACAATGCCATTGTAGGAAAAGGATTTAAATTATAATCCAGTCCTACTGAAATGTGTGTCCACATTTTTTCAAACAACTGCTCATAAAGCAACATCTTCAAACCCACAGTTAGCGTGATCTATTAGGTAACACATGTAATAGCTCAGTGCCAGTTGACCAATAGTGACACTATACACGCTAGCAGATTAGCTCATTAATGGTAGTGCTAGCTCAGCTAGCTCTGTCAGTCACGTACCCCTCACCCTGAAGGTCTGTTTATGCCCTGTGTTCATGCTACATTAGTTGGCCTTAAGCAAAGTGCCAGTCTACAAATATGCCTAATAACATTAAATGACTTGCTCTGTGGTGTAAATTGAACCAATATTCTGGTAATGTTCCAATCTTGACATAAAACTGACCTGAAACTTATTTTTCTCAAATTGTATGTGCCATACCAGACATAGAGCACAGTAACCACGCCATGTGTTTTTGGGTCATTGGATGTTCATGCCTGTCTGTGTTCATACAACAGGGTTGGCCTCCCCCTCGACCCTCCAGTCTTCAGTGTCATCCAAACCCAAGAACAGCAGCCCTGCCATCTCCAAACCACAGGAAGGTCAGTTTTAATTTTTATACTGCTTTTCTGCCCATACTACACTCTGGTGTCCTCTGGTTACCTGTTATGTCACACTGCTGTCATGTGGAGCAGTTCAGTTCATTTAGTTGCCTTATTAAAGACTGGAGTGCTCAGCTGCTGCTCCAATCTGATTTAGACTTAATGACATGACTTTGTTACATCCTCAACTGTCAGCAGACACACATTTTCCAAAACGAATTCTGCATACAGTTAATCAACCGAAACATCTTTAATTTAGATGGACATCTGTTTAATGTGATTTCTGAGACATTGAGCTGACAGTTGTTTCACTGTGGGTTTTTTTTTCTGGCTTGGATTGTATTTGAACACAGTGTAATGATTGTCTTTGCTTCTCTTTCCAAAGACATGGAGGAGATGTCTGATAACGAAGGTGTATTCCCTTTATTTTTGGTGTTGCACTGAATGCAATGTCCATTACCATCACCAAAACCACAAATATCATCAACACTAATGTGGCTGATGTTGCTGTGAGACTTCTATTAGGTCATCAAAGACTAATAGAATATAAATCATGGGATAGTGTTGCCATATATGCATGAGTCTGAAGTGCAGAAGAATCCATATTTAGTGGCTGTTAACTGTTGATAAAATGCTTGTGACTGACAGCTGTGGTTGTGAATTACATATGTTCAGATTGGCTTCATTGTGACTGTATGCAACTGTTCATGCTCAGCCACAGTTCAAAGTCAACAAGTGTGACTCTGAACAACAGAACATCAGACTGCCTGTTCAGAGATGGCCTCTGTGCTAAAAGCAAACACAGAGTAAATTTATGTCTCTAACAGCTGTGTGTGTCTGTGTGTCTTTGTGTGTGTGTGTGTGTGTGTGTGTGTGTGTGTGTGTGTCTGTGTGCAGAGATCAAGGCCGTGCCAGATCTGAACCTGGAGTCGGACATGAAGCTGGATAAACTGGAGTCATTCCTTGGCAAGCTCAACAGTAAAGGTCAGTCTTGTTCACCATGCTGTACAAGCCACTGAGCATAGAATCAGACCTTTCACACTGTTAACACGACGGGAAAACAGTTCCACTTTATAACCCTGAAACCAATTATAGATTCACACAGAAGTTGAATCTCATTCCTATCTGATTGAGACAAAACTTCATGAATAAAATGCAGCATTCTCTGTCTACTTCACTATATTTCATTTGATGAGAGCTTCTGTTGGTGTTTTTTCCAGGCACATATTTCAGGCATTCGGTGACACCTGTGGTTACCGTTGGTAGCAGCAAGCTTGTTTTGATAGACATGGACCTCATGATGTAATTTAACATGTCAGTCTCATGTTTGGATAAGCACTAGAGTCATTTTTATGCACAACAGCAGTCAAATTACAGTATCACTTCAAACAAGTCTGAGTTAAAGGCAGTTGCGTTAAAAGGCTTCAGCAGCGCAAGGTTAAATATGCACAAAGAGAGGTTAAATGTCCTCTTCAGCCTTAATCATCATCTCTTATGCACAACAGGAAAAAAAGCTAAACCATGAAACACTGCGAATGGCTTAGTTTTCAGTTATTGAGAAGGTTGTTCTCATGTCAAATCAGTCTGTAATTGCAGTGTGGAGCACAAAAGATCAAATAAAAGAACAACTTTATTCCAACGTTTTTACAGCCACAATGTTAAGCCTACCTCTATTTTAAATTTTCATCCATGCCAACTGAAAGAATACATTTTTAGCAAAACACTTTGTGTGAGCAAATAGTAGTAAAAAGTAAAGTAAACTTAAAGTAGAGATGACAGGAACTGAGGGGGAGAGAGAGAGAGAGACGAGGAATGGCTTGTATCAAAGGGTCTCCCCATGAATCAAACTGGAGATGTTGTAATCATGGTATATATGCTGCATCTTTACAGCAGTGAGTTAAAAGTTATCTTTACAAAAGTTACCTACTGCAGCTTTAATGTCTTGATGTTTAAAGATGGAATTTTAACTCACTGCTATTGAGGTGCTTATGGATATATACTGTGATTACAACATCTCCATGTTCAATTCTGTCAAGAACTCTTGATACAAGCCATTCCTCCTCTCTCTCTCTCTCTCTCTCTCAAATTTGTCATTTCCTGTTGGTCCTTTTTTGCATTTGTTTCCATTTTCAGTTCGGTGCAGAAAAAGACGCACCCTACCATTCAAAATAATAATAAATAGTCAAAAATGAATAGAATGGACAAAAAGGCTTGTATTCATAAATAAGCACAACTTACTACTTTCATACTTCACATTGTATGATCCTGACACGGCTTCGTCTTGTCTTTCCTCAGTGTCTGGACTGCCAGAAGCCACCATCACAGTAACAGAGAAGAAGGTAAAGGAGGTAATGACCCTTGAAGATGAAACCTTTTCCAAGTTCTACCGCCAAATGGAGGAGCTTCCCGTCATCACTAATAAGGTGGAGATAGACGACGACTTCGATGCCATCTTCGGTCCCCAGGTCCCAAAGTAAGCTGTCACTGCCAGATGTCACCAAGTAACAACTCTGACTAAATAATCCTCGTGAGATTTTACTTTTTACTTGTTGACCTCACACCTCTCACCTCTATCCTCCCTCCAGGCTGCCCTCAGAGATGGTGCAGCACAAGCGAGCTGTGCGCCCAGCGCGTAACGTCCAGGCTTCTAGGAACCCTCTGAAGATGCTGGCTGCCAGGGAGGACATCAGACACGAGTACACAGAGCAGAGGCTCAACATTGGCCTGCTGGAGAGCAAGAGGATGAAGGCTGAGAAGAGTGAGTGAGGATGGATGAGCAGCTGGAACTGTGTAGACCAAAACACTCAGGGATACAACATTTGTCAAAATTTGTTCTAAATTGGCACAATAACTCTTGATGTTACAATATTAAACTTTGAATGTTTTCAAGAAAAATCTGTACATAATCAATCTCTTGAATTTAGTCCAGTCCAGCTTGTATAATTGTTTTTAATAACCGGTGTCCAATCTTGGCCAGTCACATGGGTGATCTGACATTTTAAATAAACTGCACTGCATGTTTGTCTGTCTTCTTGTTTGCACTGTTCTGTCACACTGTGCTGCGTTGTGAAAAGTCGCTGAAGGTGTGAAAGATGTTAGCTTCTACAGATGCACCCCTGCAGATATGCAATGATGAACACATCTACCTTTTTTTAAAAGATATAATTGTTGTAATTGCCAAGTGCAATGACTGTCTGTCTGCTTTTGTCTCGTCTTTGTAATATGCTTTCACCTATCCAGTGAATGCAGTGGAAGGCTCCCACTTCAACTACAAAATAAGAGAGATCAGAACATACATCTCAATCTCAGATACAAAATAAATGTTCACTGATATTATACAGTCTATAAATTGTTTCGCAGTGCTGTGTATCAACCCATTCGAGCTTCTTCTGGACTTATACTGACCTATATCTGGGACTGGAGTCAGTTTCCTGGCATTGTACAGAGCAGTCCTCAATAGCTCAGTGTGGTTTGTAAGCTGGACACAAAGTCAATGTCATGTTACTCCCATAACTTCCTCCTTCATCTCCTCTGACAGCAATAAAAACACTTGAACTGTCTCTGGAGTGTTCTATATTTGTTGTAGTCATTTAGAGACCTTCAGTTCCGAGCTTCAGAGGTCGTTTACATTCTTGTCTCATCTGTGTATAGGGGTTAAATGTAATAGACTGTGGTGCGTTAAATCTGTTTCTGTTTGTCTCATGTCCCCTCTCTGTGCTCTGTTCTGTTCACTGCAGTGAATAAGAACTCTGGTTTCTCTGATGTGGCTCTGGCCGGTCTGGCCAGCAAGGAGAACTTCAGTAACGTCAACCTGCGCAGCGTCAACATCTCCGAGCAGATGTCCAACAACAGCGCTGTGCCTTACAAGAAACTCATGCTCTTACAGGTCAAAGGTCAGTTGAGTGAACAGGCCGCTCTGACCATACACAAACAGGTGCACCTGCACTTCAGTTTTTCATCTATTATTATTTTATTACACGATGAATCCAGTATTAACTCATAAAAACATTTTTTTTATGAGTTAATACTGGAATCATCGTGTACATATATGTATAGTTGGCCCTGTTGGGTTGAGTTAGCCTTTAGGCCATCAAAAGGACACTTTTACTGTAAAGATGCATGTTGTAGCACCTGTTACTCACAGGAAAGAGTCTACAGCCATGCTAACAGCTCTGTGAGACTATACTTAAGGCACACTAGTGCTTTGAGCTATATGCTAACAGAAGCATGCTAACATTATGGATGTATTATTATCAAACATTCTGGTTATTCAGCCCACTGAGTAAGGCCAGTAGTCTTTCTCCTGGGCTCGATACGATACGTATCACAGTACAGCAGTTATGATTCAGTATATTGTGATATTGTAAGCAAGGCGATGTATTGGGATCACAAAACAAAATATTCCGAGCGCAGCCTTCTCGAATAGACAGGCTTGAGGATGCAGCCAAGAAGAAAGGAATACATTGATTTACATTCTTCTTAAATTTGCTTGTTTGTGAGGCAGCATCAGTTGTGAGGGAGTTACAATCAGTAGTTTAAGAGGATGGAAAAACAAATAGCTTCTGTTCTACACAAACTATGGAGGATGCTGCTTCAAGGGTGTCCTTTCCAGAGGATATCTAAAATGGGAGACGAGAGTTGGTCTATTTCGGTGTCTATGCACCTCCTCCAAGCGTCTGCTGGTGACAGCTGTGGCTCTAAATCATTCTCCCCTGGTCACCTCGTACTATCCTGGGCTGATCCTGTCTTCAAAACCCCACTGTGTGTAATCCAGAGCAAATCCACTACACCAGCGGTACTGCTTTGTTAGGAGTTAGCTGTCCCAACCTGACAGTGTTGAGAGTGGTGCGTTAGAATAGCTGCTACTAACCTCTGCGTGGGTCACATGGAGAGTCACTGAGGCCCCTGGAGTTTGTAATTTATGACTTGATGTAAATTGCATACTGTTCCGGCTGCATTAAAAAGTTGGAAAGACATGGTTTTAATAGGAAGGGGTGGGTTACACATGCATGTACATACATGTCCAGGGTCAAATGGCTGGCACATCGTTGCCCCAACACCCCTAGCATGATAATCCAGGCATGCTGACATCGATAATCAGAGCTGTCACTGATAAGCCACCTGTCTGCGTGTTTTATTTTTCCTGCCTATGCAACGTCAGGCCGACGTCACGTCCAGACCAGGCTGGTGGAGCCCAGAGCGTCCTCCCTGAACAGCGGTGACTGTTTCCTGCTCATCACGCCACACCACTGCTTCATCTGGATCGGAGAGTTCGCCAACGTCATTGAGAAGAACAAGGTCTGGCTTTTTGAGCGCAGGAAAACCGGGTAGACAGGCACATCCACACAGGTGGAGCGAGGGTGCTGTTATGTAGGCCGGGACTTCACGTGCAGGATGTAAACACAGCCCTGGCAGGAAGCAACGGTGGCACAGCACAGGAAGAAGTGTGTGTTGATAGAAATGGTGTGTGTGTGTGTGTGTGTGTGTGTGTGTGTGTGTGTGTGTGTGTGTGTGTGTGTGTGTGTGTGTGTGTGTGTGTGTGTGTGTGTGTGTGTGTGTGTGTGTGTGTGTGTGTGTGTGTGTGTGTGTGTGTGTGTGTGTGTGTGTGTGTTGAAGGAAACAGACACAAAACATAGCTATTGTTCAAAGCTTAGACCTGTCTAATGACCTTTCATTGGCTGAACAGAGCGCTGACCTCAATCAGACAAAAAAGGAAAGTTCTGAGCCATGGCCCACATTATTGATGGGTTGTTTTAGTTGAGTTCATTAAAGTTCACAGACTCTTGTTTGTATTTTAGACATGTGCAATGAACTTGAACTCCCAGGATGATGGGGTCTTGGGTTTAAAAAAAACATGAACCGTATGTTGACCGTGTCTGCCATTTATTAAAAAGCACGAGACATCTGTGTGTTTGGAGTCAGATGAACTGAGCTCATCAGTGTCACGTAATAGAAGTTTTTTTCAAATCTTTTCAGGCTTCAGAGTTGGCAAACTTCATCCAGAGCAAGAGGGATTTGGGTTGCCGTGCTAACTACGTCCAGGTCATCGAGGAGGCCGCCAGCACGCACAGCCACGCTGCCAAGGAATTCTGGAAGATTCTGGGAGGGCAGTCGAGTTTTCAGTGTAAGGATTTGTGTATCTGGCATAATTTAAACCTTGGTGAAACAGTCCCTGAAACCATGAAACGTGAGTTGATGCCCCTGGTTTCTTCTTGTAGCTGCAGGAACGCCAGATGAAGATGAGCTGTACGAAGGTGCCATTGTAGAGACGAACTGCATTTACCGCCTGATGGAGGACAAACTGGTTCCAGATGATGATTTTTGGGCCAAGATGCCCCGTTGTTCCTTGCTCAACCCCAAGGAGGTCAGACAACTTGATATTTATCTTGAATATGTTGAGCTATATATGAATATACATTCACACCGGGGGTTTAAAGCCACCCTGTGTGAGAGACAGCAACGACCACTGGTACCTTTGAGTTAGAAGAATAAAAACTGTCTCTGTATGTGTCTCTGTGCAGGTTTTGGTGTTTGACTTTGGTAGCGAGATGTACATTTGGCATGGGAAGGAAGTGACGCTGGCACAGAGGAAGGTGGCCTTCCAGCTGGCCAAGCACCTGTGGAATGGCACCTTCGACTACACAAACTGCGACATCAACCCACTGGACCCGGGAGAGTGCAACCCAATCATACCAAAGTATGCAACTTATGGTCTAAATAGTTGTAGTAATAGGTCGTAATATTTGTCATTCATGAGCGGCTGCTTCAACAGTGTACTGAGAGGATCTTCAGTGATTGAAGTGCTGGTGTTTTGTCATTGACGTGCTGTAGGAAAGGTCAGGGGCGACCCGATTGGGCTGTGTTCGGCCGACTGACTCAACACAATGAGACCACCTTGTTCAAAGAGAAGTTCCTGGACTGGAGCGACTCCAGGAAAACTCCCAGTCCCATAAAAAACACCAACGACCACATCACTGATCAAAAGGTATTAAGAAGTACCTCAGCATCATAAAAGTCTGATAACATACAGCAGCAAATGCAGATTCTGTCCCCGTCTGCCATCACTCTTATTTCTGTCCTTCGTCTTCACACCAGGAGCAGTCCACCTCCGATCAGCCCCACGCGTACGACGCCTCCCTGATGCTGCCCCTCCACCAAGGGCTCGTATGCACCAGACTGGACGGGTTCAACGTGGGCCGGGGCTACGGCGTGGTGGAGGCAGAGGAGTGGCGGAGCTACGAGATCAGCACGCTGGCAGTGGAGGTGTGGCACATCCTGGAGTTCGACTACAGCCGCCTGCCGCGCCAGAGCATCGGCCAGTTTCACGAGGGCGATACGTATGTGATGAAGTGGAAGTACATGGTCAGCACTGCAGGTTGGTATCGTCTGTTTCCACATATTGCACCGTCACCTACACCCAGACTTCCAGCTAGGATTTGATCTTTTTACTTTGAACCTGTTTGCACCGGGCCCAGCGGTGGTTCACTCTTTATAAACCACTGTGCCACAGTGCTTCAATGACATACATAGATAGTACGATGTATATAGCTGAAACAATAGGCGATCAATTGGTAACTATTTTGACAATTGATTAATTGTTGGTCATTTTTCAAGCTAAATAAACTTACATGCTTTCAGCTTCTTCTCAAATATAATATTTCCCTGCTTTTCTTTGTTTCGTATAATAATAATTAACTGACTATCTGTTTGTTTTGGAGTGTTGGTTGGACATTAATTAATATTTCTTTCTGCACTAGGATTTTATTATGGACATTTTCCACTTTTCTTTGCCATTTTACTGACAAAAATACTGACAACGATTTATTGAGAAAATAATCAGCAGATTAATCAATATCTAGGTGCAGCCCTAATAATATTATGTAATATTACCATATAATGTAGAACAGGCTTTTTTCAAAATTGTAAGAAAATCAAGAGGAAATTGAGGGGAAAGTAAGAGTTTATATGGGTAAATACCTAAATATATTTCAATGTGAAACAGTGGGCTCACACTCACTTCTTAAAACTGCAGTAGGTACAACTTTTATAAAAAATAACTTTGTCATATTTACCGAGATGTTTCCTATATCCTGACAGTAGTACATGAAACAGATAATCTAGGACGAGCCAGAGGACAAAAAGATATTTTCATAAGTTATTTACTGCAGCTTTAATTTTTTTTTTTAAAAAGTGCTTAATTTTCTTCATATTGGTGCTCTATTTCAACATAGTCTGATAGTCATCTGTGACGGCTGAGAACAAAATAATGTTACTGAATAGTGGTACTGAATACAGTGTGTCTCCTCCTCAGAAGCCACAACACTCACTGATCCTAGTTTTTATGTGGGTTATTGTAGATCTAGGCCACTCAACTGCACGTCACATCCTTCTCTGACTCACTCTCAATAGACACTAGTCTTTTCTATTTACAGACATTTCGAGATGTAGTTCAGTTTCCTTTGCTGTTCTACTACTGTATATTGTAAATCAGAGTAGAAAGAGGTCCAAGATGTTTGGTCAGAAGTACGAGCCGCCTAGTTAGCATTAGATTGTCCATTTTAAATTAGATTATCTGTCATTTCCCTATAAGATCATGCTTCATGATTAGTTCAGAAATATATCTATATATATATAAAAAGTTGGTTACATTTATATGATGCACATATTCCAAATAGTGATGTACTATCTCTATGCTTCAAAAGGTCTCTGAACTCGACTCAAAATATGCAAAGCCATAGCAAATGTTTCTTGTAATACTGTATGCAGCATTTTGTAGTCTTCCAGGGCAGTAGTCACATACTAGATCCAGACATTAGTGCCTTTCTAACAATCTGTCTCCATCAGTTGGGAGGAGACAGAACCCGGAGCAGCAGAAGACAGCGGGGGCAGGGAAGGAGAAGTGCTGCTACTTCTTCTGGCAGGGCCGCAACTCCACCGTCAGCGAGAAAGGAACATCAGCGCTGATGACAGTAGAGCTGGACGAGGAGCGGGGAGCACAGGTACGTGAAAGAGCGAGTGCGTGTGTGAGCGAGAGAGGTTCCTGGGAGTCATCGATTTTCTTTGTCTGTCCATTTTTTGCACATAGAGTTGTGTGTAGGCTTCACTCCTCTCGTTTGATTTCATCTTCCTCCAGGTTCAGGTCCAGCAGGGTAAGGAGCCTCCATGTTTCCTGCAGTGCTTCAAAGGAGGGATGGTGGTCCACTCTGGGAAGAGAGAAGAGGAGGAGGAGAACTCGCAGAGTAAGCCCACATCTCTGCTTTAAAATCAGTCAACATAGACACAAAGTTTGCCCGCTGCTGCTATTCCATCATTCATTAGCAAATGGTCTATTTAGACGTCCATATTTTCTGAATGATGCTGATCTCTAACAGTTCCAAATGAATGAGACTCCCAGTGGCTTCTTACTTTTATTTACAGCTATAATTGCTTCTGTAGCAGTCATTTAAATCCATCATCTGCCCATAATGAGTGACTCATATATATGAGAACTGTGTTGTAGCTTAGAGAAGAATTGGATTTTGAGAATAGAAACACTCCTGAGGGATCAACACTCCAGCTAAAACTGTCAGTAGCTCCATATTTTCCCACACTTCTAATAAGTAACTGAGCTTTTGTTCTTTAGGCTGAAAGTTTCTTTCTCTACTGTTAATGTTAACACCACTCTCATCAGCTAAATGCCCTAAATTGTGTATCTCCCTCACCTCTCGCTCTGCCCCTGTCCCCCCCTCCCCCCCAGACGACTGGCGCCTGTACTGTGTGCGAGGTGAGGTGGAGGTGGAGGGCCACCTGCTGGAGGTGGCCTGTCACTGCAGCAGCCTGCGCTCCAGGATGTCGATGGTGCTGCTGAGCGTCAGCCAGGCCCTCATCTACCTGTGGCACGGCTGCAAGTCTCAAACACACACACGGGAGGTGGCACGCACTGCCGCCAACAAAATCAAAGAGCAGTGAGTGGAAACTTAGGTTCCTCAACTTTTGGTTCCTGAAACCTGTTTTGATCATCTTACAAGATGTATTGAGATACAGCCGTTATCAGGCAGTATGACATCTTTGTCTCTGTGCAGTTGTCCTCTGGAAGCTGGCCTCCACAGCAGCAGCAAGGTGACCATTCGGGAATGTGACGAGGGAGCAGAGCCCGCTGGATTCTGGGAGCCCCTCGGGAGGAGGGACAGGAAAGTGTACGACTGCATGTTGCAAGGTGGGTTGAACCAAAGTGCACGAAGCCACTTCACTGTAATCAGAGCTGTGGATGGTGTCATTAACTAGTGCCCCTGGTTATGTGTGTTGTTTGTCCTTTGACCCTCAGACCCAGGAAGGTTTAACTTCACACCTCGTCTGTACCAGCTGAGCAGCAGCTCGGGGGGAGTTTGCAGCTGTGGAGTTTCTGTACCCTGCCAGAGACTCCAATAAGGTCAACTCTATGCCTTTCCTGCAGGAGGACCTTTATGCAGCTTCACAGCCAGGTATACATGTGCATTTGTCTCACTGTAAATGTAAAGATAATGACCGTACAGTACTGTTATTTATTGGGTGCTCAACATATTCAAGGATAATTTACATAGAAAAACATATTTTTCTTTAATTCTGTCATTGATTTTTGAGAATTGGAAATTTCAGTCAGATTTTTTTTATACATTTAAAGCTGCAGTAGCTAACTTTGATTTTTGTAAAAAACGTTCTCGTATTTGCTGAAACTTTCACTATATCCTGACGGTAAAACATGAGACAGATCATTTGAAAAAATCAGGTTCCTCTGGCTCCTCCTAGTGCTCCTAATGGCATTTGCAAGACTCCACCAGTGGACAAAAACAACAAATCAGAGCCGAGAAAGATAGTTGATTGTTGAGTCTCATTCCCAGGTTGATGGTTTGGCTTGGTGGCTTGAAGCTTTGGGACCCAAAGCATCTGGATTTGCCAACTTGGGAATGAGACTCAACAATCAAATATCTTTCTCGGCTCTGATTGGTTTGTTTTTGTTCAAGCACAGTGAATAATTGCACCTAAACAAATATTTTTCACAAGGACCCCTTTAATTTGGTTATTAAAGACTAACTAAGAAATTATGTACATGTATGAGATGGACGTTTTACAGTTGTAAAATAAACCACAAACATATCTTTGGCACTTTTGGCAGGACCAGTAAACAATAAACTAATATCATCTTATGTATTGTCCTCTCATCAGGTCTAAAGCTACATTTTAAAGAATTTTAAACTGTATTTACTGTAGCTAGGCTTGGCAGGTAAAAGTTAAGAAAAACCTACTTTGAAAATAAAAAAATTGTTCCAATGGGGGGGAAAAAGAATCATTGCTATATCAGGAGTATCACTCCATGATCCCTTCAGTGTGTGCTGAAGAGTTTCCATGTGTTTTTCATTAATCCTCAACTTGTAAACCTAAAACCAACCCTGAAAACACTAATAAGCGACCACTTAACAAAATTGTCCTCCCTCTAAAAGTCTAAAAATGTCCTTGTCTTGTTTCTTTCTCAGCCCTGTTCCTGGTGGACAACCACCATGAGGTGTATCTGTGGCAGGGCTGGTGGCCTCAGGACAGCGAGAGCACCGGCTCAGCCAGAATCCGCTGGGACTCAGACAGGAAGTGTGCCATGGAGACTGTGCTGCAGTACTGTAGAGGTATTCCCCTTCATTCTTCTTCTTACTAGAATCACACTTTTACCACTCTCTATTACTGCTTGAAGTAACAATTTAGCTCTTTCTTTCCGATCCAGTGGCGCTTAGGTTGACACCCTCAGACGACAGTACTAAAAAACTGAGTAGATAAACTAAGCCCTTCTTTGAAACCGTGTTGTTGTTTTGTTTCCACAGAGAAGAATGAGAAGAAGCCTCCCAAAGCGTATCTGATCCACGCTGGTCTGGAGCCACTCACGTTCACCAACATGTTCCCCAGCTGGGAGCACAGAGAGGACATCGCTGAGATCACTGAGAGGGTGTGTGGATCAAATCATCTTATCTGATTACTCCCAGCTACATCATCTGATATGAACCAGTACTGCTCACACTGCCTGTAGCCATTAGTGTGTACACTGTACTGAAACACATGCACTTATTGTACAAAAATAGAGACTTCTTCAGGTCAGTCCAGGTGTAAGCCATTATCTCTCATTTACTTTCCTAATTAAATTTGTTATCTACTCTCCAACTCTCTGGGTGCTTTTTGCCTTGAAAAAATTATATATTTTGTGTGTGTGTTCTCAGGAGGCGGAGGTGTGTAACCAGATTATCCTGGTGGAGGATGTGTTGGCCAGGCTGTGTAAAACTGCATACCCGCTGGCAGATATTCTGGCCCGGCCGCTGCCTGAGGGCGTGGACCCTCTTCGCCTGGAAGTCTATCTGTCTGATGAGGACTTTGAGGTAAGAACTCTCTAGTCTCTAGTGGTACTTTAAAGCCGCTACATGTTTCCTTTTAAAACTGATAAATCACAACCACATTCACTATTTAGATATGAACTATGATAATGTTGTGCTAGAGAATGTGAAACATCTCAGTAATTGTTTAATATTTTATTTCTGGTATATCAGAAAAACATTTTCCAGTGATATATTAATTTAAAGCTGCACTATTCAATATGTTTGTATTAACAATGGGTTTAGTAACAATGTGTACTGTGAAAGGTGTCACTTGTAGTGATGAACCAACATTATCGCCTGTCTCTGCTGATCCCTCCAGCTCTACAGACAACTTTATTGTTGTTTTTAGCCACAAAATGACAGCCATAAAAAGTCAGCGACTATCTGGTGAACATAGAGGATTCAGAAGCTGTCAGATATTTCTCTCAGGAGTTGGTGGTGCTAAAAAAACCAAAAAGTAAGAGTAAATAATGGACGTCCATTCATCTGGTCGCCAGAAATAAGACCCCAACTGAACTGTACTGTGCTTGTCTTTATTTGAAGCACAATTATAGAAATAAAAATAAAAATTGAACATTTCAAACTCCAACATTTCAAGTAAAATAATTATTAATGAAAATAATAATGATTACTACTACCTGCCGCTGAAATGCAGCTGGGAGAGGGGCCACTTTCTCTACACACTTGTCACAGAATATCGTGTGTTTTCGATACGAAACGTTGTTGACCCACTCACGAATGCACTATTTCCGGCCATATTCTGACCGCACTGCTGACAGTACACACAGTGCATTGCGTTACGTCCTTTGTTGTACCTCAGCCAGGGAAATAGTTTCAGCCAGTCCTGTCTGAAGGAATATATTTTGACCTTTTTAATTTGGGTCTCGGAGCCGGGCTCTAACCAGACTCGGTTGTCTCCTCCTCTGGTTCTGAGTCTGATGCTGTCGCTGAAGGACCGGAGCTCGGTATCTCACCAGGGACCGAGGGCTCCGTGTCTTGACGGGATGGACTGTCAGTAGTGGGGATGGATGGGATTATAGTAGTAGGGCTGGTTGTGGGTTTGGTTTTCTTAATGAAAAAACTTTCAATATTTCTGCCTCTCTTCATTTTCCGTTGTTTTGTCGCGTTAATTTTATTTTTCCGTTTCAGTTAGTCAGCTGTTCTCGCGCTCAGGTCGCTCGGCAATTTTTAAACACACACAACTTAGCGCAGTGAACAGGACCACAGCCAATCAGAGGCAACGACCCGCCCGAGCTCTGTCTCTTATTGGTTTATAGAACACGATATGATCCTACCATGAGTGTGTGAGTTCGCTCACAGGACAACACAGAGAGATGATGCGCTTGCGAAATAAATGTTAAATAAATGTGTGTTTTCACCCGGGCAGCGTCAGGTGCACCAGTGCGACCTACAAAGATTATTAGTCGCACTCTTAAAAATGTATTGGTCACACTCTGGAGCCCTGATTAGCCATAGAAACTTTATCTGCCGATATTGTGTCAAACAAGTGTGTGATGTTCAGCTTGCTCTGCCCCCAAATGGCAAAAAAAGATTAGCACTGCTTTAAAAATGCAGTGTAATATACTGTGTGTGTCCTTTAAATGATAGATTTTTCTTATTCAGTCGAAAATGGACAGAATGTCTTTCAGTACTCTCTGTGGCACTCAGAAGTTCAAAATATTTAGTTTTAGTTTTACAGAAGGCTCAGTCATTTCCTTGAAACATCTGACCACTGTTGCTTTTATCAAACAAGAGGAAACAGGAGGAAATAGACATTTTGTGGGGTCTAATTTCAGCTGCGGATTAATCATCATTCTGTACTCCAGTGAGGAAAATAAACTACAGTGTGTGTGTGTGTGTGTGTGTGTGTGTGTGTGTGTGTGTGTGTGTGTGTGTGTGTGTGTGTGTGTGTGTGTGTGTGTGTGTGTGTGTGTGTGTGTGTGTGTGTGTGTGTGTGTGTGTGTGTGTGTGTGTGTTTTCATGGTAAGGAAGGGACATGTCAGCCAGTGCAACAGTGTGTCTCACTGATGTGTTTTTAGATAACAATGGAGCTCTATGGCACAGAGGAAGAAGATATATCCAACATACACAATACTTGTTAGTAGATACATTCATTGTTGGTTTGGGACTTTTCACAGGATTTGTTGACAATAAGATTTGGAGTTACACCGGTCTTATCCTTTAAGTTTACTCAGGAACTTCAGATTCCCGTCTGTTCATTGCTCTTTTCCTCTTTCTTTTTGCAATCTTGTCTGTCATCATGTTCTGCCATCTTCTCTCCATCTTCTTGTCTTTATGTGAACTTACCTATTTCATTCATTCCACCCTCCAGGGTGTAGGGGCTTATGGGAAGGTGAGTTGTCTTGGCTTAAGCATGGATGACCTGGACTAGTGCATCCTCACTCAACTTTACCATAATCCATTTTCTTTCCAACTCTGCCTCATCACTCTTTTTTTATTTTCTCTCTGACAACCGTTTGTTTAGCATGCTGTTCACTCACAGTCTACAGGCCGGTGTGCACTGAACCCCGGAGATGAACAGACCATACTCTACTGAGGATGTGAATTTAAGAATGTCTGTGCTCTTAATCTCACTGATGCATGAGTGTGTTCTTGTCCCTCACCATGCATTCTGCAGGATTGCTGGTTTGAAATTCTGTACAGTAAACTATCATGTGACTGCTTCTTGCTGATTGTGTGTGTGGCTGCTCCCACAGAAAGCCCTGGATATGACCAGAGAGGAGTACGGGGCCTTGCCCAGCTGGAAGCAGGTGAACTTGAAGAAAGCCAAAGGCCTTTTCTGAATGTTTGAAACAGAGAGCTGACCTGAAGACATCAGAAAAAAATCCACCAGGAGGTTGTCTTGTCTCCTCTTTTGTTTACGTTGGGACCCAGCCGAGGCTCAGGGGTAGCCTCTCCTGAGCTGTGACGGTGGGTTGAGGAGGGGAGTACTGAAGGTGTGGAAGAGGTGATCAGTGACTGAGAGGTGTGGCAGCTTCTTGTGCTGCAGTTTTCCTTCCCATCTGTTTTTTGCATTGCTTTTACAGTAGGAGACAAACATAGGCGGATGCACCTCTGAGTGGATGTGTTAATAGTTCTTTACAGCCTCACTCTATTAATGTTTGTACATATGTACCATACACAGGACAGCCAGTGCCGTTACTTTGTCAGCCATATGTTAGAGTGGGAGCAGGCCTGTCAGCCCGTTCAGCACACATCAGATCCTCTGCTAATCTTATATGTATACTTGTGCATTACAGATAATTTATATCAAATCCATATAGGAATTTAAAAAAAAAAGCTTCATGAATATCCACTGAGCTAAAAATGATTGAATAAACTGTATAATGAATGTTGGGGATATGTTAATGTTAATAAATACTGGATATTGCAGAAATTCTCTCGTGCTGTACAGTTCACCATTTGCCGTTTACAAATCAAATGATGTAGCTTTCTTTGAATGCGTCTAGTGTCATTATTGTTTCATACAGGAGAAAGCATACAGGCTGGATTAAAGGCAACGAGAGAGTGATGATGAAATGTATTTGATTTTTAAATCCTACAGTGTATAGTGCCTTGCTTTGTGTACAGTTTATATACAGATGCTAGTCTGCATTTTGAAGACTTTTTGTGATATAAAGAAATATTAGAGAAATAAACCCTGAAAGTTGGATATTAGAACAGTGTTTTTGGTTTGCTTTTGGTTTTTGGTCTCCTTCTTAAATTCATATAATTAATTTTGTGTGTGACCACAGTATGAATACATCCATCCAATAGAGGGCAGTATAATACTAATTTCTGTGGACTGACTGGTACTCAGAAGATCAACAGGATTCATGTTCATATTAGATTGTTATCATGTTAGATTATCTGTTACAATCAATAACACATTTATCTTTGCTTGTTTTTTTTCCTCACAAAGTACTTGAAGGATTTTAGCTCTATAGTTACTTCAATGGATGATGTATTTATGTCTCAGAACAGAAAGAAATCTGTTTTATGTAAATGATCAAAAAATGGTCAAATGAAAAATATTTAAATAATACATGAGCTGGGAAACACTGAAGTAGCTCATTGCTGTCAGTTAATGACTAGAAGATTCCCAGCATAAATCCCTGACTAGGACATGGGGAAGTTTTGTCTGTCCCCTTCCTCAAACACTACTGTTAGGTCACTGGTTCCCAAAATGGGGGGGGCGGCAGGAAAAAAAGCTGAATTAATCTGATTCATATTCCTTTTACACAGCAGACATTTTAACTCATCATAGCAGTAAAAGCACAGGTGGTAATAATATTAACTGTGGCTCTGTTCTATTTGAGTGTCCCAGTGAGCCATAACAGTGAGCCAGCATGAACAATAGGAGCCTGACACACTGAAACAGCTAAATGGAATTCATTTATTTTATTATTTACACCTGTGCTTTCTGGCTGTGACACGTCAACATGTGTTCTGTGAAAAAGGACAACGTATTTGGGAACAATAACGAAACAAAAGTGCTCTGATGCTGGCCAGATTATCATGACTGAGGTAAAGAGAAAAGAAAAACACTGATGTTCACTGATCAAACATGGCAGTCAAATCCACAATATAAACAAGTCGATCTAGTTGTGTTTACACTGAGAGCCTTGTGTCTATAGTATCTAAAAACCAATGGTAAATGCAGGTACATTTACTTAAACAATGTACTTCAGTACAAATTTGAGGTATTTATTTTTAATTTCATTCTACTTTATATTTTTTGAAGTAATGCAAAACAATAATTTTAAGTTGGGAAGATTGCTGGTGAAGCAAATATTCCTGATTATGTACTTATTTCAAGGTATTTTGTTTTCACAGTACCAATAAAAACCACCATATTAAGTCATTGTCACTTATAATGACTAAAGCTACTTGATCCAGAACTTACAAAATTGAGATGATAAATGATGTAATCAGTTTGAACAGTTACATGAACTTCTGGTTTTACAGTGAAGCAGAAATCTGCAGTTCATGTTTCTGAATGTTATTTCTGTTCAAGTTTCCCCGCTGTTGATACAATTTCAGTCTGTTACATATCAGGGAAGGTGAGTGCTTGTTTGTTTCCAAAGAAGGCATGGGAGAAGACGTTTGGGAACCACTGGTCCGGGCAGTTAACCCCTAACAAAACCAAAGAAGTTGCACAGTCATAAGAAACACAAGACTGACTGTCTGTAAATTCCCAGTGACTGTGAAACACAATGGCAGACCTTTCTGTATAAATAAAGTCAGTGCAGTAATACCAGTAATCACACTGAGAAAGTCATGTTTTTATGTTAGTCTCTTATTAACACCTCTGATCAGCACTGCTCCTCCATGAGCCATTCTTGGCAGCTTTATGGATGCTGTTAAAAGCTCAATTACCTCGCTATGTGAAGTCACACACACACACACACAGGTGAAAGCCACAATCGGCCGTCCAACCTGTCAAACCTCACAGCCTCATTTTCCAGGCTGTCCTCCAACTCCACACACACACACACACACCTGAAAGCTCTCAGATGTTCTCAATATCAGCCGTTGGCCTGTGTTGAGGAACAAGAGCAATTAGAGGGGAATTTCATGCAATCACAGTAGAACAATATACACAGCAGGTTTCTGTTCATCCAACTGTTGCTCAATATTTTAACAGCCTTACTGACAGCCTGCCCCGAAACAGCAACAAGAGAAAGAAGAAGCTGCTGCCTGTTCCAAAAAGCTTGGCACGGCTCTGCGTGGTTCTCGCTGTTTTTCATCTGCTCGCCCTCTCTTGCATGCTAAGTTGTTGGATTCGGAGCCTGTGCTGGATTATTCTGTTACACATGCCTTCCTCTGAACTCTTCTGGCCTGCGAGGAGTTTGATGTGCGACACGGTGCGTATCCACCCACCCGCTTCTCCACACCCACTCAGTGCACCATGCTCCAACCCCCCCCCCACTCCAGCCCTCCCCTCTCTGTCTCCAGGAACACAGTAGGATGTACAGTGCGTTGATGCGCACACACTGTCAGGTGTGTGTAGTATCTCTGAGCCTGTTTTGACTCTGAGCCCAGTTTCTGTTCTGAGCTCCAACCAGCTTTTCTTTTGATGCAATCCCTTTACAGGATGCAAAGACATGAATGCAAAACACCATGACACACACACACACACACACACACACACACACACACACCTGTACAGTACAGTGTGAGGATGCACACACAAAAGCTATCAGTTATAGTCCTATATATAGTAATACATGCACTCAAAGCACTACCACATTAGAATTCAAAGTAAAGGTCAGTGACCAGAATTAAAAACAGGGAAATTGCTTCACTGGTGGAGATCAAGTACTAAGGGCTAAAGGGTCAGTTCACACAAATTACCCCCATAAAAAAACAGGTTGTGTTTTAGTTGTAGTTTAAGATGTCTGTCTCCACTTCAGTACAGTTTATTTAGTGCTGAAAACTTTCAGAGGGACTACTTCTTTGTGAAGATGTAGAAAATATTTCCATTCTGCCATTAATTTCCTGTGAGATGTGACTTTTTATGACTTGGTTCAAATAATTTCAAAATCCCCTTGTAAACTTTAATGTGTCACATAAAGTGCAATAAAACTTTCCCACAGTTAATTGCAGGGCTCCTAAGCACATTTAATACAATTTGGTAGAAAAGGGAAATCACCAAGAGTTCCTCTAACTCTAACCTCTAATTCCTCTAATGTCTCTGCATTCCTCTGAAATCTGTTGGTAAGGCACATTTATTTATATACAGTAGGACATTACATTACAAGCATGAAAATGCACGTACAAACACCTAGGGTGTGTAGGGTGCAGCGTCCCCAGGCTGATGGTACAGTAGAAAAGAAGGCTAGAAGGAAGGACCCCAAAAGTGCTTTTGTCTCTGAGATACCTCTACCGGAGGTAGAACAAAGTACAACAACATTTTTTATATTCTCCATATATGAAATGGATTCTTGTATAAAAATGTTTTACTGCCAATGTGCTTCAATTGACAGATATTGTGACAAGTACAAAATAAAGCCAGTCCCAATGAGAGATGATACAACTGAACTCATATAATTTCATAATGCAAGCAGTGATTGATTCCAAATATGGTGTGGAAGTGGGCAGGGGGTGAATGTCTTGATACAGTACAGATACTGTTTTTATCAATATAAGTCTATGTGAATGTGTTCATTTACTATAAGATAGCTCTGGCTGGGATAGTCCCACAAACACCAACCAGGGTTTACCAGAAAGGTCAGACTGTGACTGAATCCAGATAAAATCTGCCTGACTGAACATACATTTTATTGTTTAGCTGAATATTTTGAATAAAGTTAAATAAAGACCAATCTGCCTTCTGCAGCATTGAGGAACCCTGACCGCTACCAGGGGGTTCTCGACTTTACGCAGCAGCCAGCTCCACCAGGGCAGTGGCCTGTTTGTACTGTCACTGATTCCACCCTCAGTACCCCCTTAACAGGGCCCCTGCCAGCCACACTGAGGAGATTTGGATGCTAACAGGAACAACAGCGGGAGATTTAAAACCCTGCAGCCTGTCTGCATCTCTATCTACCTGCTAACCCCTAGCCCTAACCCTAACCCAATAAAAAGCGTAAAAAAAAAAAAAAAACTAACTAAACTAACTGGTACTGTTGATTTTGTTAGATTATTCTTTAAGATCTAAACTTTAAAGACCTGAAAACAAGCAATATTCAGCTAAACAAACAGCCTTGTCCTGTACCAGAGAGCTAAAAGAACAATTAGAAGGAAATACTAAGTTTGCCAAAAAAATAAGCCTATAAAGTATATATGATTGTTAAAGAAAAAATGTTTCTAACAGACAGAAAATGTAGAGATCCTAAGCTTTTTGCAGTTATTATGTTCATTATTTGGGCTAAATTGTACAGTTTATCAGTTGCTCTGTATTGTTATTGTTATTGATTGAATATAATATGAAATATCTATAAAATATGTCTCTTAGTCAGGGGTTGTCAGAAAAGGGGTAACTCCAGGAAAAAGGTAGGGAACCACAGGTGTAGGCTATATGGCAGTTTGGCTGTATGAGCATCCAGCATCACTGAATGTGAAATGCTGAATGCTCACTAGTTTAGTCAATCTTACTTATTTTAACCTTTATCTGAAGTTGTGATGCTTAAATATAAATCCATGGCACTGTCCATGGTTGTGGAATGACACACCTCATTGTAATCCACATTTCTCTCTCTTGGGCCAATCCTGTTCTCACTATGCTTCCTCTGGCTCATCTGTTCAGTCGCTCCCAAGTCGTGTCATTCCACTGTTACGCTGATGATACACAGATCTACTTCTCTGCTAAACCCCCCTCCCTCCATGACTGCTCAGCTGCCACCAAAGACTGGATGTCTCTTAATTCCCCTCCCCAAAAGTGAAATAGTCTGCTTTGTTTATGTAGGTCATATAGAGTAACTTAAAACTGTTTCATAACCAGCTAAAACTTCTTGTAGCAGGTTTAACTAATTAAATAATACATATATTGATATAACACCATACAGGGGTCATTCTGCTTCATGACTCCTAATCCAGTGCTTATTTGTAATGTGATATGTTTATATTGCAGTGTCGCTCCTTCAATACTTCATCCTTGATTAGTGTGTGACAGCGTGTCACACTGTGTCTCCACACGGAGTGATTTTGAAGCTCTGCACCTCTGCAGCAGCGGCGGG